CTGTAGCTATAATGTGCACTTAACAATAAAGCCCTTTGAACCTTTGAACCTTTATGCTTTAAAGGTGGGGTAGGTAAGTTTGAGAAACCGGCTCGAGATACACTTTTTGTTATATTCCATGGAATGCTCTTAACATCCCGATAGCAATGAATATCTTAAGTGCTTTGACCAAAAATCCATAAAAAAATGTCATCTGTGGAAGCCGTTGTACTGTAAAAAGCACGACCAATCATTTTAGCCCGCCCGGCTAAAATAACTGGATGGCCTACCTGCCTGTCAGCCTTCCATCTGTGCACAGACTTATCTCGTGCCCTCATTGGTCATGTGCGCGTTCGTGTGTGTTGGAGGAGGGGCTCTGTAAGGAAGTGGCAGATTTTTTCCGGCTGTGTATTTTCAAATTTTAGCGATCTCGAGCTGGTTTCTCCAAAATGACCTACCCCACCTTTAATACATGATGTAATTGGGCCCAAAAATACTTTTTCCCATTTACTTGCATTGGGATAGAGGAGTCTGTAAATCAGCGGATAACGGCTTTAAACTAAATGAATTACCCAGTACGAACACCCAGTACCTCCATGATTAATCCGGGCCTGAGCCCCAATTTAACCCCTACGCAGCATCATGAATGAGCTCATGACATGTCCACAATAGTGTCATGTGTCACGATCTGTTTGTGTTGTGTTTTGTCTTGTCTTTTTCTGTCTTTGGTTTCCAGTCTTATTTTGAAAAGTGTTCACCCCCTGTCTTGCCTGTTGCTTTCTGTCTGTTTTCCCTCCTACCTGATTATTCTGATTGTGTTCACCTGTTGCCCTTGTGTTTCTGCCTCCCTTACCCCAGCTGTGTCTTGTCTTGTGATTACCCCTCTCTGTATTTAGTCTTGTCTTCCCCTGTGTGCCTGGTTGGTTCATTGTTTGTTTTTCCTGTCTCCCTCCATGTTGGTCACGGTCAGTTTTTGTGCTACAGTACCTATGTGTTTCATGCCATGTTTTTGTTCAGCTTTTAAAATAAAGCTCGCTTTTTGTTTCTAGACCTTTTTACCTTTTTTGTAGTCTGCATTTGGGTCCTACCCTTTCCACGCTACCTAACAGAATGTAATAATAATGTGCCTAGTTAAGTTGATGCTGCTCATAAGATGCTGATAACATGTTGATGTTAATCATAGACCACTCTAAAGTCTATTGTTGCTTTAGGAGATTAGGTTTACGGTGCACTGTAGAAGATGTTATTTGTTCATTAAAGTGTAAATAATAATGGCCTTCTTTCACACAAGTAATCTCCCTCCCTTGAGATAGAAAGCTTAAGGTCATTTGTTACGATCTGTTTGTTCAGAACAGCAGTTATCTCTTGAGAACAGCATCAGATCCACACCGCCTTTGTTTTTGTCTTCAGTTGTTGTGCAACAGCCGTTATGCAATACAATAGAAAGCACCAAATTACATGAAGTGAAACCCAGCCTCCCTTAGATGTTTATGTGTTTGGCCTTTTCCATTTCCCAGTAATTCTCTCAAAGAGTTTATCTGAGCTGTTAGCCAACCACCACAGGCAACCCAGCATGTGTCAAATTGTCCAAAATTAACAACAGCTTCACAGCCATTTATTCTGAGTGCATCCATCATTTTGATGTTCTACCCATTCTGAAGAGTTTTCTTGACCCACAGAGGAGCAAGTTACCCTTACACTTCATGGACTGTGAACCTAATGAACAAAAAACAGCAGAAAATATGACGGCTTAGTCTCCTATAAATTGTGTTTTCATACAAACAATATTGTGTATGGACAGGGTTTGAATTCACAGGAAGGTCAAACTAGCACAGGGCTTTCAGGAGACAGGTGTTCTGAGATAACCTCTCTGTCCTCTCTGTCCTTACCGGGACAACAACTCTTAATGCTTTTAGTATGTGTGACTACAGTAAATGAGCCAGATGAAAAATCTAACTTTTAAATGTGATAGGTCAAATTGATAGTATTTTATCTTAATGGCACATACTGTATATCGTCAACTGAGCTTTCAACATGTCAATAAAGGCAAATGATTCAAAAAGAGATGTCAGAGATATCTTATCTTATCACCTGCCCTTGACCCCTTATTCAGTTTCCTCCGCAGGTGAAGTCAGTCTCACCTCCTATAGAGAGCGCTGTGCCAGGTGATGCAGCAGCCACTAACCAACCCCTCAACCTGTTAGCAATGCACTTTGGATTTAATACAATAAATCCGACTCTTTTTCTTCACCCCTCTGAGCAGCTCTACACCTCACTACATTAGTGAGGTGTCAGAGCAAAGAGACTTCCAGGTTGTCCAGTTCCATGGTGCAGCTGGGTGTTTGGTGCCTTGCTCAAGGACAACTGAGCAGTGTCCAGGAGGTGGAGTGGCCCTTCAGTTTCCAAGCCAAGCCTTACAGACTGAGTTACTGCCGCCCCATCCATGTTCCTTAAACATCATTAATTAATTAAGAGAATGACATTTGTTTTATTAACACCATCATGTTGGGTCGGTGAGTAACAGGGACATGTCTGTATTTGGGCTGTTCATATAATGTTGCAGCTGATCACTTTATTGAGTGTCTTTTAAATCTCTCCCTGAGAAACAGCTGGAGTGTGTGTTGCTGAGTCTCTGTGTGCCTGTCAGTCTGTAACATACTGTTTGTGAACGCCCCTCATCTCTTTCCCAGGATCTCATCTGCACCTTGACTTCATTATACTGCAGCCAGGGGACACTAACTCTATGTAGACCAGATGTGTGTACACAAGCACATTTAAATATGCTGTAGACTACATACTATACATACATACATACATACACCATAATTTCAACAAATTGCATATCAGTTTTTAATTTTAAACATCAAATGAAAAGTGAAATTGCTTTGCAAAACTTTTTACATAATCTCATATTGAAAGCAGCTTATGTTTTTATCATCAGGATCTACCAATATCTCACCAATACTGATTTATGATACTATACCTTCAGAATCACTCTATACATGCTGACATTGACTCTGAAACTTAACCAACTTTATTACTTTCCTGTCATGTTTCATTAGGATTACTTTTTTATTTGCTTGTTCATTGTTTGTGAACATTGTTTGTTCGGTGTATTATACATACTGTATACAAACAGCAAATGAAGTTGTTACTGTTGCATTTCGAGCTCGTGCCATTGGTTGTTTATGATTACAGGAAGTATGAATATTAAAATAAATATGATTTGCGTACATGTGCGACAGGAAGCACTGCCACTAAGTCAGCACTGAATAACCACAGAATATAGATATAAAATAGATAATATATCTGTTGTTACAGCAACCATGTAACAACTCAATAAAAGGTACAACAGACGATAATGAAACGTCCCACATGATACCAAAAGCCCCCACTGAGCTGCACTACAGAGAGCTTCAGGCACAGCAGTGGAACACGGCACACTCCCCCCCTCTACTGGAGGCACTGCAGCAACACCGTCTGTCAGACAAAAGAAGGGGAAAAAAATCACACAGCTAGAATATTTGAGCAATATTTCTATACTGTATGCATATTTTACCAGAGGTGGGAGAAGTACTCAGATCATGTACTTAAGTAAGTACCAGAGTGTAGGGATACTCTGTTCCAACTAAAAGTCCTGCATTCAAGGTTCAAGGTTCTTTATTTAGTCATACATTCAAATGTTACTCAAGTAAACGTACCAAAGTATATGCATCTAAATAAACGTTCAGTATAGTACCTAAAGTAAAAGTACTCATTCTGCAGATTGGTCCATTTCAGAATACTATATATGATATGTTTTATAATGATTGATCATTAAAGTGTTCTCAAAGATGGTAAAGGTGCAGCTAGTTTGAATGACTTTGTATACTGCAGGGTAGCTTGTGAATTTACTCCAGGTGGAACTAAAGTCTGATTTAAGAGTTGATTATATTTTCAAATCATTCATCCAGTAAAGTAACTAAAGGTATTAAATAAATGTGGTGGAGTAAAATTACACGATTAACCTCTGAACTGTAGTGGGGTAGAAGTACAAAGAAGCATAACATGGAAATACTCAAGTAAAGTAGGCCTACAAGTCTTTAAAAATGTTACTTGAGTAAATGCACTTAGTTTCTTTACACCACTGTTTTTTACCTTTTCAGAGTTATTTAAGATGCATTATATACCTTGCCCAGTATAAAATGTATATTGCAAATATCACCATTACAACAAAGGTCACGAATGTATTCCCCTACCCTTTCACTACAACTGGGACTGTACATTTGATCAAAATCACACTAAAATACAAGCAGGAAAAAGCTTAAGAGACTGTGAGTGGAAATACGCAGTCTGTGTTTGATGTTCTACAGACTGTGCTTTCTGTGTGAAGAAGAGAAGAACATTCAAAGATAAGTGGATGCTTTAGAAGTTGTGATCACTGCATTACCTCATTTGCCTCTCTGTAATTGCTGCTTGAATTGAACTTCACATTGTCCAATAAAACAGTGCACACTCACTCAACAGTCAAAGATCACCAATCACAAAATTGTGAAATTTATTTTTAAAACATTAAATTATATCATAGCACGTGGATTCATATAATTATAATTCTTTTTTCCATGGAGCTATATTGATTTAAGTCAGCTGTCACATGCAGAGCTGCCCGGGCTGCATTCAGGTTTATTATTAGAGTCAGTCTGAGAGTCATGGGACAGGCACGGGATTACTCCAGCAGATCACTTAACCCTAACCCTTAGTCAACGTTGAATAATGTAATTTTAGCTTCCAGTGCAGACTAGATGTTTACAAATCACAGTGGGAGAAACCGGAGATGCACAAGAAACATATCGTTTTCAAGTCCTAACAAAACTGTATGTTTCAAAGTATGCTAGAATGGCAGTTAAAACACTTCTAGAAACTATGTTCTAGCAGTAAATATAATGTGACAGTTAACAGCAAGTTGTTACTCACTGAAGACTTGAGTTAACCACCTTTGCTACTGTCAGTGAACGCAGCATCACAGCAATGTTGGATCAGAGCTCTGTACGCGTGACGTCACAGGCTGGGTCTGCTAATTCTGATTTAGAAATATAAATCTGAGACATTTGGACAACCGACACTGCCAACGTCTGCTTCACTGCCAGGTAAAACATGTACTGTAAACATTCTACATTTGTTTTAACAGGAATGTTTAAAAGCTGATGTGTACAACACTGTAAGTAACATATCTAGGTTACATTTGATGCACGTGACATATTGTTGTTACCACTGAATGACGACTGTCGATATAAGGTTAGTTTTATGCTAGAGTAAAATGCTTTGTTAACAGCAGTAGGGACGGTTTAATATGGTGTCAGTCGGCTATAGTCCGTTTGGCTGTGTTTATTTTCGTTCTAGAATTATCTGGCACAATCCACGCGATGATTTGGGTTTGGCTCGCGCGCGCCTCTGTTATTCTTTAGATATCGGCACGCAGCCTCTTTACTGTACTCAGTGAGGAAGATGAGGGCAGGTCATCTCCTCCGTTACATGCTGTTGTTTTGGCTCTGTTCTCTCCATTCTGTTAGATGACACACTATATCACGATTACTTCATACTTTGGGCAGCCCACATAGGCAATGGTGGAATAAATACTCGTTTTCTTACTCAAGTAAGAGTAGCAATAGTAACTTGTGAAAATACTCAAAGAAAAATCATTAGCCCCTGCTAGACCACCACACACACAACAACACAGACTATAACAGCACTGTAGTGCAATATATACTATGCTACACTGTTTTTACTGACTTTTTTTCACTGTAACAACAATGTACTATTTCAATATTTACTATTTTCAATATATGTTGCTATTTACTATTGTTATCTGAGAGGTACTGTACGTCATTACTTTATATTTGTTCCACTTTTTTTATAATGCTGCCACTTGTCTTTTCTACCTAGATTGTGTACTAATTTGATAATTTGTATTATGTGTATGTGTTCTTGCCACTTTACTATTACAGTACTGTTGTATTTGTGTCCTTATTTGGGCTCTTTGCTGTAACAATGATAATGACGGATAAAGGAATTCTGATTGTGAAAGTACAAAAGTGTCAAAGTGTATTTAAAGAACCAAAAATAAAAGTACTCATGATGACCCTTTTCAGAATCATTTATATTACATGACTGGATTGTGATTATTGATGTGTATCACAGCTGACATTAAATTACAATGTTTATTTATATGTTAATTAGGGTCTGAGACCATAGGTCGGCGAAGACCCTATTGAAATCGGTCGCGCAGCGACCGATAAACCTGCGAAAAACACATGAAAACAGGGAAAACGACCGGCAAAAGCACAGAAAAGGTTCGGAAATAGTGACGGCAGATAGTCCGCGCGAGCCCAGTCACGTGGGCGAAGCCCACGTGATTGCAACTCGCATAATTAATATCGTTACGATCAATTTAGTCGCTCGCGAAGCGAGCGATAACCATGCAAAACCCACTAAAAACAGGGAAAAAGATGGGTAAAAGCCCATTAAAAGTGGCCTAAATCATGACAGTAGGTAGGCCAACGGCCTACAGTGACGTGGGCGTAGCCCACGTCACTGTAAACGAGCACATTATTGATATTGGTCCGATTATTATTATTATTATTATTCTGATTATTATTTTAATACATTGAGCGCACTTTTGAGCCCCGCCACATAAGTGAAAACTCACCAAAATTTGCACACGCGTCAGAAGTGCGCAAAATTGCGATGTGTAATTGGTCCCGGAACTTTACGTCAAAAATTGCGTAGGCCACGCCCACTTCCGTTTTTAACGTTAACTCCCCCTACTTTAACTTTCACGTAAATGAACGAAACTCGCTACGCATATCTAAGGTGCGGAGACAAACAAAAAAGCCTCTTGGAGGGGTATAAAATAACGTACAGGAAGTCAATGGACACGGTCCCATCGTCCCCCAATCTTCACTTTTATATTACTGATCCATGACTGAACAGCTCTACGCGAAATCTGAGATCTCACCGTATGCCGTTTCCATGGCAACGCATTCCTCGCCGTAAAACACGGTGTCGCTGTAAATCCAATCGACACGGTCCCATCGTCCCACAATCTTCACTTTTATATCACTGGTCCATGACTCAACAGCTGTACGCGAAATTTGAGATCTCACCGTATGCCGTTTCCATGGCAACGCATTCCTCGCCATAAAACACGGTGTCGCTGTAAATCCAATCGACACGGTCCCATCGTCCCCCAATCTTCACTTTTATATTACTGATCCATGACTGAACAGCTCTACGCGAAATCTGAGATCTCACCGCATGCCGTTTCCATGGCAACGCATTCCTCGCCGTAAAACACGGTGTCGCTGTAAATCCAATCGACACGGTCCCATCGTCCCACAATCTTCACTTTTATATCACTGGTCCATGACTCAACAGCTGTACGCGAAATTTGAGATCTCACCGTATGCCGTTTCCATGGCAACGCATTCCTCGCCATAAAACACGGTGTCGCTGTAAATCCAATCGACACGGTCCCATCGTCCCCCAATCTTCACTTTTATATTACTGATCCATGACTGAACAGCTCTACGCGAAATCTGAGATCTCACCGCATGCCGTTTCCATGGCAACGCATTCCTCGCCGTAAAACACGGTGTCGCTGTAAATCCAATCGACACGGTCCCATCGTCCCACAATCTTCACTTTTATATCACTGGTCCATGACTCAACAGCTGTACGCAAAATTTGAGATCTCACCGTATGCCGTTTCCATGGCAACGCATTCCTCGCCATAAAACACGGTGTCGCTGTAAATCCAATCGACACGGTCCCATCGTCCCCCAATCTTCACTTTTATATTACTGATCCATGACTGAACAGCTCTACGCGAAATCTGAGATCTCACCGCATGCCGTTTCCATGGCAACGCATTCCTCGCCATAAAACACGGTGTCGCTGTAAATCCAATCGACACGGTCCCATCGTCCCACAATCTTCACTTTTAAATCACTGGTCCATGACTCAACAGCTCTACCCGAAATCTGAGATCTCACCGTATGCCGTTTCCATAGCAACGCATCCCACGCCGTAAAACACGATGTTGTCTTAATTCAATGGAAAAGGTTCAAAACGGCACCAGACTTCAGATGACAGTTAATGGTCCGGCCCTCAACAGCACTATGCCAATTATGGGATGTCATCATGTGCCGTTGCCATGGCAGTAGATCACTCGCCATCAAACACAATGTTTACTGTATAATACTGCTGTAACTCCCATTTACGTTGTCCCATCGGCCTGAAACTTCCCACGTTTGCCAACGGCCGAGTCCGGAAAACTCCTGCATGATACCTCGACGTGCGGACAACAGCCTGCGGAGCGTCGAAGACCCGCTCAACGCTGCTTGCAGCTTTAATTTGTATTATTATTGTATTAGCCAAAACTATAAAGTAACTAGTAACTTATTGACTTCCAAAATGTAATGCAGTGGAAGTATAAAAAAGGAAAAAACGTTTATACTCAAGTACAGTACAAGTACCTCAACATTGTACTTATGTACAGTTCTTGAGTAAAAGTACATTATTACATCCCACCAGTGCATTTATCATCTTTAGAGGCTATGTAATGGTAAAGGATTACAGATTAAAAGATAACTTTGAGGATGGAAGTTGGCATCAAATTTCATTTCAAATTTAAGATTTAAAATCAGATTTGGAATGACTGACTGTACTCGTGTATTTAGCTTAAGGTCCATTTTCACTACTTCACTTGAGCATACACTATGGCATGCCATTTTATATCATAAATAAATCATATATACATCTCAGAGAAATAATCAAATATGAACTTTTGCATTTTACTTCTCTATTGGAAAAGCTGTCCATATTTGAGAGCAATAGTTATATACAAATTCTAAAGTCTTCAAATTGCTGTTTTTTGATAAGATAAGATAGGACTTTATTTATCCCGATGAAATTGTTGTGCCAGAGTTACAAAAATACAATAACACATATAACACAGCAGCATAATAATAAAACGGTACAGTAACAGTGCAGTAAAAAGAGCAATTAAATAACTACAGGAAACATAGACAGTCACATACTTAACACTATAAGTTGTTTCAATACAAAAACTGAAATTCTCTGAAATGAAATATAATTTGATGAGACTAAGTGTGCTTAATCCTCTCATTGTGTGTGTGTTCAGCTCGTGCTTCTCCTCAGTGACAGTGAGACGTCAGGATGTCCTATATGAGTGCAGACAGCAGCTGGTCCCAGCCCAGGGACTTCAGCAGCCTCATCCACACCTGCAGCTCCAACATTCAGAAGATCAGCAACAACTGTGAGTGAGCACTGTGTCACACGCAGCAGGAACAACCTGTTCCACACCAGATCACTAGAGAACACATTTTATTCAAATGTTAAGGTTTTATTGTAGAATGCACTGAGGCTAATGTGTGGGAAAGGAAAGTCTCACTGTAAGTCCAATACAGTGCAACATACAATATACTTAAGACGCAAAGCAATAGGTAATAAAATAGTGCAATCAAAAATATTGATTCAGTGGTGCAAGTAAAATTCAGAAATAAGTATATTTAAAAAAGAACAAGATAAAAGAGAATGAAGAATTAAAAGCTGTCCAGTAGAATTCATATATTTTAATAATATATAAATATATATATTTTCTTTGGTTCATTTGTTCTGTTTTAATTCAGCAGGCGAACCTATATGTTCATAAAATAGTGTGTGTGAGCTTAACTGTGTGTATTCAACTAAAACGGAGCATTTTCTGTCAGCTCAGATTTGATTTCTGCTTTTTTAAACTGTAGTATGTGCTCATGTGTTTCATTGGGGGTGTATAGACTGCTGCCTGAATATGCTGAATGAAAGGCAGGTTTCCCTATCAATAAAATCATTTTTGATCCTAAATATCTTGGTTTCTTCTTCTCTAAGGTCACATTGTCCTTTCGTCTTACATATTACACTTAACTAAAAAACATCTTATTGATATTTATTTTATTTTGTATTTATTGGCATTGCATTTGATATTGAGGTAATCCAAATGCACCAGTCAGTAATCAGGTTACATTACTTTTATATTGTGATACTTAGATAAGGTTGCTGATAACGTTTTATTTTTACTGGTAACTAGTAGTTGTAAAGGAATACATTTTGTAGTAACCCTCTCCACCCTGTGTGTAATTAAATTGTTCCTTTTCTCCTCAGCTGGTCAGATCAAAAACCTCCTCAACCAACCCGGGCTGAGACAGGAGAGCTCCGAGCTGAAGGAGAAGCTGTGAGTACTGACCTGGGACCAGCAGCACCCTGGGTAATATCTCAGAGTGGAAGGATCTTAATGTTGTGTGTGTGTGTTCCCCTGCAGCCAACAGCTCCAGCACTACACCAACCAGCTGGCTAAAGAAACCAACAGACACCTGAAGGAGCTGGGCTCCCTGCCCCCCCCACTGTCTCCATCAGAACAGGTCAGCCCTCACCAGTGACGTGTGGTGAGGTCAATGGGCACAGAGGCACTGGCTAGTATCAGAGCCACAGTTATAGACATATGAGCCCCATAGAGGAAGCTTGAATTCACCATTCGATTGGGAGGTTACACAATGACTGACCTAATGGTTAGGTGACCGTGTGTTTCATATCTCATATTATAATTATTTAAAACACACACATAGGCCTACAGGTCAGTATTCAATGACGTCTCCCCCTATTTGAAGCAGAGTTCTGCAAATTTGGCTATTTTGAGTATAAAATGATCGCAATCAAACAATTACATTTTGTCATAGATCAGTTGAAAGACGTAATATTTATATGTATATCTTTTTGTACTTTCTGTAAATGCTACTTTCATTGAAGTGGGAGAGGCGGCCTCCCCTGAGCGCACATCTCTGTACCAACTATCGCTATATCAATAAATCATTCAATTTAGATATATCAACATATTGATATGTCAGTAAAATGATAGTAGGGCAATGAATGCCATGATAAGCTTATTCCACGGTCAGATCATTGTTGATGTGTCATCAAAAACCAGAGCTGCGGATAGCTTCAGGATGAGAGGGAAGGAGAAAAGAGAAACTAAATGACACCGCATGTAACCAATAGCATACTAATGATGAAAGTTTGGTCACAGTCCAGAAAAATACAAAAACTAAGAATGAAATAATTTAGCTCGTTAGTAAATTACAACACATGGCGTAACAAATGACTCACCACCACTTTGTAGCAAAAGCATGGTTATTAGAAGCCCACTTTAATAGGGAAAATACAGAAACAAACTTACTGTAGGGTTTTAAGTGAGACCATTACATTATACCACAGGACAGGAGTCTGCAGGGCCCAGCAGAGGGCGATCAAGTTAAAGGAAATATTAACAATCTACAAAAAAAAAGATATTAAAAAGAAATTGACTACTTTAACTGGAGAAATGCCTTGTAAACAAAATGTGATCTTTCAAGATGGTGACTTCTTTTTAAAAGAATATAGTATTTGTGGTGATTTAAATGTATGTAAATATGATAGAATAACATTGCGTCCTCCTTGATGAATGTGGAGAGAATGCTGCTCATACTGACACACTTCAGGATGTGAAGTGAGAGTGGGCTGGACTTTTTTCCTGCATCAAAACCAATCTCTGTCTTTGCCTTCTTATGGTGCTATTCATGTTACAATTACAAACCAATGTATGACAGTACTCTTTTGTTTTTATAAATCTTTTGAGTAGTTTTCGCACAGATAGCGAACAGACATTTTCAAGACATTACATGAAAAATACTGTGTTTTCCTAACATAGATGACAAACAAACACAAACCCCATTACCCCGCAATCTCATTCACACAAACATACAAGGGGGAGGGGGGGGGGACAAGGAAATAAAAACCAAAATAAATAAAGGATGAATATGAAATAGTATTGCAAAGAAAAGGGAGGGGAGGGGGAGGGGGGGTGCTCTGCTGAGAATGAAGTATTGGGTTCTTCATCAATAGTAAGGGTGTCAATTGTTTTGCGGCTATAGATGCCATGTCTTTTGAAGGTATCAAGTTGCGCAGTTGTTCTGTATCGATTAGTAAACGTTTGAAGAGAGTAACGAGGTTTCTCCATGATAAACAAGTTGGAAGCGAGGGAGCGGAGGGAAACACGTCTACTGCTCACTCTTCATTCCGGAAGTCTCCGTATGACAGTACTCTTTATTTATATTATATATGCAGCCGATTCATCTTTGTTTACTAGTTGATCGTGTAGTTCACAGTGTTTTGAACCATCTGCTGATGAGTTACAACTCCTTGGCTGAGACACAGACATCTTTAAAATGATAATGACTTGATAGCAATAATTATAGTGAACATAATAAAAGAAGAAGGTCAAGTTAAATTAAAAGCTATATTCAATGTTTAGGATCCAGGGCATGCTGTGGGATCTTTGGAGCAATCTCAGAGTTGATTTGTTTGTTATCTCTGCTTTATTCTCTATTCATTTTCAAAAACTAAACACATCGGGACATCCATGTTGCCTGCAGTCGAGATATACTTCAAAATAATTACAGTCCTTTGAGACGCTCAAACTCCAAACAGCAGATTCAGACATGTCATCACCAAAGTTTTGACTAAATGTTTTTGGGGAAAAAACAGCAAAAATGAAAATGAGAGATAGGCTGGTGCTTGCCAACTTTAGAATTTGTAGTAAATAACTAAAACCTTGAAACATTTTAAAACATGCAGGGAGCCAGTGGAGGGACTAAATGAAAATGGACTCAGGGCAGGAGTTCTGGTTAACATCATTCAGAGCTTTACATTAGACCTGAACTCTAATGCAAAATGACAGCCTTGACCAAATGTTAAAAAATATTCCTTTCTTTCTTTTTCTTCCAGAGGCAGCAGAAGCTCCAGAGGGAGCGTTTGATGAACGATTTCTCCTCAGCCCTCAACAACTTCCAGGTGGTTCAGCGGAGGGCGGCGGAGACAGAGAAGGAGTCCGTGGCCAGAGCCCGGGCCGGATCCAGAGTCCTGGTGAGTTCTGACTCACTGTGAACAAACAGTTAAAGATGACTCTTAAACACATAGTGTAATATGTATAGGATATAACAGTGATGAACGCTGATGTTTATTATCTTTTGTTACTGTCTACAGGGAGATGGAGGCAATGTGACTGACCAACTGGTTACATATGAAGAGTAAGTGTTTCTAAATATTTTACCTTCAGCTCATTCCAGCCACTATTTCATTTTTTAACACAATGTTGGGGTGAGAAAGCCACAGCAAGCCTGAAATACAGTATGTTGTTCCGCTGTCCTTTGAGTCACTGCACACTGTTTCATCAGTACATGGCTGTTGTTAAAGACAAAAATGAAGCAAACACCTATGGGTGTGTTGGAACCCCGAACAACAACATGATCCCTCTGTATTATCTGTATAATCAATTATAAAAGATCACACTAAGAGATGTATAGTTAACATTGTTACTGCCAATATGATCAGTTTATGGTTTAAATAGCCCTTTGGCTATATACTGGCTAAAAAGTGATATCAATGCTTCCTTTCAGAACCAAATGCTCTTAAAGCAGCCTGTAATGTAGCTCTGGCTGGTTAGGAAGGTAGACAACAGTATGGGGTGACTAGTCCGGACACGGGAGGAAGGGATTTCCTTCTAAGTTTATTATTAACTGACTATAAATACGGATACAAATGCACTGACACTCAGGTATTACAGCACTGTTGAAATGTGTGTGTGATTCTAAGGAAAATAAACAAAGATCTGCATTAACTAACCTTACATCTTACAACTATTATAAGAAAAGCTAATTTTTCACAGATAAAGGCTGTCACTCAATATAAATGTACTATTCAATTACAGAAAATGTGAAGGGGGCGTGGCCTAGCTTCTTCACATTAGGCAAGCCTTTGCACACATTACATGTCACTTGTTAGACACTTTTATCCAAAGCGACTTACATACTCAATACTGTGGGCAATCCACACAGGAGCAATTAGGGGTGAAGTGTCTTGCCCAGGGACACAACGACATGCTGACTGCAGTGGGGTTTAAACCTGTGCTCCCCTGATCCCAACACCAACGCACTGGTCCACTGCGCCACTTAACCCTTCTTTAAACACATGAATGATGAACGGTAAAATACAATGGGCAGGAAAACTTTTTAGGTATCATCTTTTTCTCTTCCCATGTTAGGGATATGTACATATTGCCAAGTAAAGTAGTCTAAGGGAAAGTCTGAAGAGTTTGACATAACATAACAGAATGTCACAAATGTCTGTATCTCTGTGAAATAAAGTGTGTGTTATTGCAGTGAGGATGAGTGGGGTGAGAGCCAGACACAGACTGAGGAGCCCCCGGTCACTGAGGAGAACCTGGAGACCATCAGGGAGAGAGAGACCAACATCAGACAGCTGGAGGTACAGTACACCCCCCCCCCCCCCACCCCACCCCTCAGAGGCAGGGACTCTGTAGCTCTCTCCCCCAGCAGCTAACACCCCCTCCCCCTGTCTCCTCAGGCCAACATCAAGGACGTGAACCAGATCTTCAAGGACCTGGCTGTGATGATCCACGATCAGGGGGAGATGATCGGTGAGTCAGAAGAAACAGAGTTGATGCTTCACACATGTGATTTGAATATGCTCATGCGTCGTCGTCCCCCCCCCCCCTGTGTGTGATGAACAGACACCATAGAGGCCCATGTGGAGAGTGCTGAGGTTCATGTAGACAGGGGGACCGTCCAGCTGCAGAAGGCCTCCTATTACAAGGTGAGAGAGCAGAGTCATTCAGTGTTGCATGTACATGTATATATGGAGACATTCCATTCAAATACCAAACTAACAAAACATTGTGAATCTTACAAGTATTGTGGGTCTAACACAACCTCATATCGCTGAATAAAAATTGCTGCTTACATTTTTTTTCTCCACAACTTCTTTGAAAGACTGTAGTTCATATCCTGACAACAAAGACATCATTATCATATTTGATAAGGGATTATGGTAAAACTTCTTTAAGCTGCCTAATTGCTCTTCGAGATGCCTCAAAACATGAATTTGTTTAAGTGAAGGTCGATGATAGAGAAGCAGTGTTAGTATAATCACGTGTAACAGATGTTTATTACAAAAAACGGTATGTTTTTGTGAGTTTTTATTTTTTTGTTCTGTGATTAAAGAGAGAATTTTGAGATTCTGCTTTTTTTTTATCGGAGTACTGGCATCATTCACAGAATTGTCTATTTAATCACATCATTCAAAGTTTTTTCTCAGAATTATGAAAATAAAATAGCTTTTGTTCATGTGGCTCTAATCCTCTTTTGTAGTTTATAAAGTTACTGTTGTTGAAGAAAAATTGGTACTGGTTGAAGCTAGCAGGTTATTAATATTGTCTCTTTATAATTGTATCACTAAAGAAGCTCATGTACCCCTTTCACACCAACGGTGTTTCAGGGCCGGTTCGGTGCTGGAGCTTGAAAAGCACCGGGTTTTCCTGTTCACACCGCAGCGGAGCAGCGTCATAGCTCCGGAATCCGGTTCGTTTCGAGCACCAAAAAGTTGTCCGTCTAGAAGCAAGAACCGCATACGTCACGCTTACGTCGGAGGGGGGCGAGATTAACCTGAGCTAACACTTAAGGCGAGTAGGGCAAATAAAAGTTGTAACAAGCAGTAGTGCTGAGCAAAGTGACTAGAACGCAACCACACACTTGTTAAAAAAAACACACTTTATAAAGTCAGGCAACACTAACCAGGCTTCGTGTGATTCTGTTTATTTGTACCTTACTTTGACCATCCGTTCGCTGTTATTGATCATTGTGGAGAGCAGGCAGACGTTTTGTTTGTTATTATAGCAGCTATCGGATGGAATCAATACATGGGCTGCACAGGTTGTCATGTCCGACTATCACAAGTAGAATCATAATGAAAAATACGTCGGTAAAATGTGCCTGTAGAAAACTGCTTAGCAAGTAGTCAGTTTAGCTTCGGTTGCTATGCTAACATCACCCATGTTATACCAGAGAAACTTTCATAACAGCGTTGTGATGCCAAACAGCGTCAATTCAGACTGACACCAAACAGCGTCAATTCAGACTGACACACATTCACTTAAGGGGAACTGGGGATATGTATGTGTGACAGTCAGACAGTGAATACTTTAGAGCCGTGTGAGCTAACCCGGAGCTAACGGGAGAATACACTCGTGGAAGAGCAGCCGGCCAGCACTGCAGCGGTCGGTAAATGCCGCTGAAACACATTAATAAACAATGAACCACGGCACTCTGGAGAAAAGTATAAGGTTGGAGAAGTCGTTATTTAATTTAATCTGGCTTCGTATGATTAAAAGCAACGCAGTCCCCGGCCCGTTGTTATTGTGAGGTGAGCTCCGGCGTTGGGGAGAAACTCAGCGACGTAAACTGTGACGTCATGACGCAGCAGCGGCAGCACCAGTCGGGCTCTGAGCGGTGTGAAAAGAGCCGGCGCTAAACCGAAGAACCGGTTCTGAACCAGAAAAGCTCTAGCACGGAGCTTGAACCGGAGTTGCGTTGGTGTGAAAGGGGCATAAGTGTCATTACTTCTGAGAAATATAGAAATAGAAGGCTCAAAAGAGCTGTGTCTCTGTCAGTGCTCTGGAGTTCCCATGTTCTTCTCTAATAAGGAGTAATACAATGCTGTAAGAAAACATGGCATAACAGATAGCCTTCTCATATATTGTTATATTATATTACAAGACTAAACAAGGTTCTTTCAGCTTGATGGAATGCCATTTCCTTTCACAATGTTTGCCTTAGTTCTCAGGTTTCTTTGTTTTATTATCTATTCTTTAGAGGTCTAGTTCCATATGCAGTGAGCTTACAGCACTGACACAGGAAGTATTAAGAGAAGGAGTAACACAGTTTTGGTTTGGATCTTTCATGTGGTAAGTTGACAGTAAGATCAGGAGAATCATCTAGAGTTATTGATTCATGCTGTTTACTAGAATGAATACATTTACTATGATGTCCTGTCACTTGTTCTGAATCTGATGACACTAACATGGCCCCTTGTTGTGTGCAGAGGAAGTCCCGTAAGAGGATGTGCATTCTGACCATGGTGCTGTCGCTGGTGCTCATCATCTTCATCATCATCATCTGGCAGGCACTCAAATAAGGAGACACACCTTCAGAGGACCTCCAGTGTGTGTATGACCGAGAGACAGTGAGAGAGCGCTGTATGTGTGTACATTAGTTTAAATATCCCAACACACTAAAAGCTAAATGTTGCCCCTTTATTCAGCCACTGTGTGACTGAATGTGGATGTATTTCTTTGTTTTTTATGTTTTGGGTATTTTTAGGCTAACAGCACACCAAATCTACCAATATTTTGTGATATATTCATAAAAATATGTATTTCCTATACTTAAATTGACAAGTTTGAAGTGTTTTGGGACACTAAAACGCCAATGTAACCATCACATGTATGACTACTATTATTTATAACACCAACTTGTGTGTGTGTGTGTGTGTGTGTGTGTGTGTGTGTGTGTGTGTGTGTGTGTGTGTGTGTGTGTGTGTGTGTGTGTGTGTGTGTGTGTGTGTGTGTGTGTGTGTGTGTGTGTGTGTGTGTGTGTGTGTGTGTGTGACAAATAAATCCTACATTCCAACACCTAAAAAGTAAATTTCCTTCAGTGTAAAATGTATCGCTACTGTAGGACGGTGTCAAATGCAATCTTTTTTACAGTATGTGACCCTGTGTTGTTAAATATGAAGTGTATTTGCAGTATAAGGAGTGTGTTACTCATGAGAATGTAAAAGGAAATATCAAGTGTTTTAGCTGGCAGAATGTCTGTCATGAGAGAACACTTTGTTTCGCTGTATGTGCCCAGCTGAGAGATTTGAATACAGTTCCACCTGATGAAGTACAGTGTGTCATGTCTCATTTTGTCCACCAGAGGCACCAACTAACCTGATGTTATGCCCTATTAGTTTCCAGCACACTCAACCCCCTGCCTGAAACGCCTCAATTGGACTCCTTTTTCACTCTCGTAACATAGTGACATCCCTATGTAACACAGACCCGGCGCCAGAACAAATCTACAGAGGGCATATGATTTTCATGGGAGGGCACACAAAACCGTCATGTGCCGCGGCCAGTGGCGGTGCCAGAGATTTTCTTTTGGGAGTGCTGTGGGGTAGCTTGACGTTTCATATAGAGGGTGCTCAAACATGTAGGGTTTCCCATTAATGTACCGGCGCTACAGTGGAATGTTCTACTGCAACAATCCCCATAAGCACATACACAGTGTACCCGCGACTGTTACAATGAAGGCTCGATAATCAGCTCACGGCATATAGGTGTAAGCAGGGGTAAAGTGCTATTTTTTTTAAGTGGGGGGTGGACCTAACATCCTCTAGGGGGGTCCGGGGGCAAGCTCCCCCGGGAAGATTATTTTAATATAGAAGTTAAAAGCATCAATCTGGTGCACTTTGAGAGCAAAATGAAGAGATCTATGAAAAAAAAACGTGTTTATTGGGGGAGGGCAGGAATGTCAAATGGGAGGGCCTGGCCCCACGGCGCCAGGTCTGTGTAACACTCTTGCTTCTATTGGCTAGCTCCAACACAATCTGCGTGATATACTAAGGGGCGGGACATCTCTAAGCAGTTGACCGGCGCGGGACCCTCGCTTGGTCTTCCTCCTGCGTCTCTCAGGTAGGACAGCAACAGGTAGCCATGGTGAATCTCCATTGTCTGTCGGTGGGTTATTGTCCACGAAGTTTCTGATGTGAAGAAGTTCCTCTCTGCTATATTGTATAGCAGAGTTGGTGCGGTCGGCTTGCATGTTGCGAACCATGTTAAAAGCAAAACGGCAAAAAGTAAATAAACACGCACAAAATACGAAAAAGGGCAAAGTTGGAGAGGAGCCAAACGACAATGCGGCCATCTTCACCGGCGCATCATGTATCATGATGCAGAATAGAATAATCAACAAGATGACAGAGTGTGGGATGTAATGAAGATAACATTGGGGTTGTCGTGGTTACACGCCGTCTTATGGCAGTGAAGGAGCACTCTACACCTCCCTGAAAGGTCCTCAGGTCTGAGAGGTTTCGCTGCACCCCCGCTGCCATGACTCAGCACTCCAAACAGCATGAGCGCGCTCACACTTTATAAGACGAGCTGACACATCAATCAACAAGTTAGAGGACTTCATTTAGTTAATCATTTCTAAAAACTAGTATGAGAATGTTTTTGGTATAGAACAAAGTATTGGACAAATTGAGATAAAGAAATACATTGATATTAGATTGATGTAGAAGGACTTTAATCAGCAGCTACATTTCTATGAGGCTTCTGAGCAACCAGAGCATTTTAGAGAGGTCCTATTATGCTTTTTGGGGTTTTCCCTTTCCTGTAGTGTAGTGTGTTCTATAGTTTTGTGTGCATGTTAATGGTCTGCAAAGTCTAAAATCCCTGTGTTCCCTCCAGAGGTAGTTTCCCTGGGGTTCTGTTATAAAGAATTTCCCTAGATGGTACGACTGGAAATACTTTTGGTACCAGGCACTTTTTGCGATTTCTTTGGATCCCTCAATCGTTTAGGCTCCATCAATTTGTTTTTATCATGGCCTGGTTTTGCAGGCTGACATTTTTTTTCAAATCTGTGTCAAGTTTCCAAAAACTAAATTGCAGGTACAAGTGATTGCAGCTTTTTGACTGAAGTATAGTCCAACATTTGAGATTTTACAACGACCACTATATGCTCTTTCTAGTTTTTTTATTAACATGTAATCTTGCTAGTAATCCCCAATGTTTAGAAATGTAACAGTAATCAGATTTTTGTATTTAACTGTAAGGGAATACAGTTACCTTTTTTGTTCATGCTGTACGTGTGGATATACTATACAGCAGCTCTCACAGTACATGTAGTGTTGTGTCACCTTTATGGTTTGAGAGTACATGTGAAGAGGTCCATGTAACACTGTCATCCGTACCCTCCGGTTTCCCCCTGGACTTTATAGAGAAAGTCTGTGTTCCTTGAAAGAAAAGGTCAGATAGAAATCTTCTGTCTCCTCTTCTCTCATTATGCTGGGAGGATAAAGGGAGCCAATCTGCTTTTCAAATTCTCTTTTGTTGGGGGTTTTTACAAATCGTCTGTGCTCTTCTTTCATTTCCTGTTACAAAGACTTGAACGCACATCATTTGCACTGATCTGCATTGCTGATGTGCAGAGATCCAGCAATTGTGAAGATGTTCTTCCTCCATGTGCACTGTATGAGGAGAGGAAACAGGGGGCATCTTGATTGCGAGAAATGAAAATCAGATGGGCTTCTGTTTCTCTCCAAGGTGCAGATTTTATTCTTCTTCATGGATGTTTGATGGGGTTGGTCAAATGAAGAATGGCTTAGAAGAATCTATGAAATAACCCCAACCTCAGATAAAAAGCAGCCTCTTTTGAGCCGTTTGCCTTCTCTTGAAATAACTTTAAAGACAGGATATTGTCACCTGCTCCCTACTCTCTAATTGAACCTTTTCATCTCGTCTTCCCACGCCTGAAGCCCACCTTAAGTCCTCGTCGGCCGCCAGTTATTTCACACTTTCTCTGTTGCTCCCTATGAGTCACTGTGACTTATTTTCTATCTGTAAAGCACTTGGGCTGCATCTTGCATGAAAGGTGCTTATAAATAAGTGTATTATTATAATTATTAATAATATTACTGTTATTATAACAAGGTACAACAGGCAGGTTTGGAAGGTCACTGTGTATGCATTTAAAAAAATTAATCTGAAACCTAACCCTCGGCTACTTTAGGTACACATGAGGTTCAAACTATTGCTGGGATGAGATTTTGGATCCAGAATTGTAATTGAATACACCTGGTTTAACCCACTTCCACTAGAAATGAGGAGAATAGGCCTTCTTCCACACTAAATGTAGATAGGCTCATTCTAAAATAAAAGAAACAAAACGACTGTTAGTCCCAGGGGATTATTCTCATTTGAAAACATAATAATGAATATTACATTCCATTTCTGCCAAAGGACCCCTTCAACCTTGCTCCTTTGACACAAGAGAATGAACTGTTGATTAACCGTTACAGTGCTGGCAGTAATGGAGTATTGGAAAGGAGTCAGTTTGGTTAGAGTGCAGAGTTAGGAAGGTTCAACACCAGGCGAGGGGAGTAACCGATTACATTATGAGGATACACAAAAAGGTAACTATATTCCCTTACAGTTACATTAGTAATAGACAGAATCAGATTATTGTTAGATTTCAAAAAATGGGGATTACTAGCAGGATTACATTGTTATTAAAAACCTAAAATGAGCATATAGTGTTTGTTGTAAAAGGATCAGATGTTATCTCTTTGTCAGCTGTACTGTTCTGTAGGCTGATACTTGAAATGTGAATCTATACGCCTACTGCCTGAATCTGCTTTATGGTTTCAATTTCTTTGGTTCATTTGTTCGGTTTTTAATTCAGCAGGTGAACCTATATGTTCATAAAATAGTGTGTGTGAGCTTAACTGTGTGTATTAAACTAAAACGGAGCATTTCCTGTCAGCTCAGATTTTATTTCTGCTTTTTTGTGCTCATGTGTTTCCTTGTTGGTGTATAGGCTACTGTACATTTTTAAGGTTACATTGTCCTGTTGTCTTACATAATATGTTTTAACAATTTAAAAACATCTGATATATATTTGTTTTCTCTATCAATTTGCATTGCATTTGATATTGAAGTAATCCAAAATTACCTGAAAGTAATCAGGTTACATAACTTTTTTTATCTAAATACTCAGATTAGGTTATAATGTTTACAGGCAAACTGTTCCTGTATGCACTTTTAAAGTCACCCTCCCACACACACTGATAGCTGTCATGTGTGAGATGAAACCTGAGACCTTCTGGCTGCAGCATGAAACCCTGCAACTGCCCCCCCCAAAACCCAAAGAGATCTATCCAGGGAGAGCTAAAAATAAGAGAGGACTGGCAGCCATGGCTCGGATTAATTATTGCTGTGTGTCTCTCACGAGTGTGTTTGGGAGAACGTGGAGTGTGATTGGACACATCTGCTCCTAACAGTGATAAACATCATTCCTTATATGCACACCAACATTAGTGCTGCTTGGCCCTTTGTCATATGTGGCTATCAGGGTTGGGAGGGTTAGTTAAACATGTATTCCGTTATATAAAATATAAAAGTAATGTAACCTGATTAACTTCCGTTGCTTTTGGATTACGTCAATATCAAATGCAATGCAAATAAATACAAGACAAAAGAAATATCAAATCTTACTGTAAGTGTATTATGTAAGACAACAGAACAATGTAACCTTAGAAATGTGTTTTTTTAAAGAAAAACCTGCCTTTCATTAAGCAAATTCAGGAAGTAGACCAACAATGAAACAAATGAGCAAATACTACAAAAGCTAATGCGCTTTATTTTATAACTTTTGGGTAATCTGATCACACCTTTTTTTATGTCACTGTAAGGAAAAAGTTACTTTTATGTATCCTGATTACGTGATCCAGTTACATGTAATCCATTACTCCCAAAACCTGGTGGCTATCTGATTTCTCTCAATTTAAAAGCAGGTATGCAGACACACTCAATCAGTCCGTGAGTGGAAATACTCTAAAAGGTCTGATGTCCTATGCAGGGAGATAAATCCATTTGCTTGTTAAACATATACAGACACATGCAACAGTTCTGTTATATTCTCTCATCCTCATAAAAATAGCTCAAAAGCTGGCAGCTGATGCCCTTCCTCTGCTTTCCTTTGTCATTACCCCTCATCCGAAAACGGGGCCAGACCCCTTATGTCTGACGTGAAATACACTTGGGATTCTCTGCTGCCCCAGATATATCACCCACACTCACTTTCTCCCAACCAGTAAACAGTAATAGTCACCTTTAGCAGGCTCACATTAACCCTTCATATTTCTGATTTATGAGAGGCAATATGTTCACTTGCGCTGCCTGCAGCTTTAACACTTATTATTCATAATTAATCATTTTTTTCATTGGTTTTTGGTTTCATTTCCCCCAACACATCACAGTTCACATTTAGAATCAGGAGGACAGCAGGATCAAGGGGACCCCTGCTATCATATTCACATCATATTTTATTACTGAGGCCAGCCATGGTCAAGCTACACAGTGATACATTCAAACCGGAAATACGATGTTTTGACTTTCAAAATAAAAGTATTTTTGATTGAGGTTTAAAGAGCCCGCTGAACATTTTAAATGTATTGCGTGACCTGTGTCCTTACGCCATAGAACCAGAATGAAACATAATAGGCCTATATATTCTGATAGCCAAAGTCAACTAATTTACCAACCTTACAAAAAGTTGGGTATGCAATAAACATACTGTTTGATTCTAGTTTAATACAATTATTTTTGTTGCCCAAAACCTAGAATATGAAATATAAGAGTCAAATTGTTTATGGGAACACGAGTTTAGAAAAAAAGTATCGGTCAGTTTTGTCCTTCTACTGAGGGTACTTCCGGTGTTACCTCGGTGCTTTTCACACAGTCAGATGAACACTCGGGACATGTTGCGCGTGTTCCTCCGCTCTGTCACTCCCATGGCCCCTGTGTGACTCTGTGTGGAATGTGCTGGTAGTTTTCTTCACTTGACATGGACATGGAGCCTCTGGACGTGGAGGCTCTGAACTTCACGGTGGAGGCTGCGGCGGGGCAGCCCCTGTGTGAGGCGTGGCGGGAGTCCGCGGAGGGCTCCGTGTTCCACCTCGCCAACATCCTCCTGTTCCTCGGCTTCATGGGCGGCAGCGGCTTCTACGGGCTCCTCTACCTCTTCACCTTCCTCACCCTGGGCTTCTTCTGCTCCACCCTGTGGGCCTGGGGGGACCCCTGCACCACGGACTCCTTCCTGTGGAGCTTCGCCCTGTTCGGGGTGTGTCTGGGACAGGTGCTGCATGTGTCCTACCGACTGAGGAGGGTGTCCCTCAGTGAGGACTTCCAGGAGCTCTACAACTGCATGTTTAAGAAGCTGGGGGTGTCGCTCACTCACTTTGGGAAGATAGTGACCTGCTGTGAGGGAGACATCCACACCCTAGAGAGGGACCAGTGCTTCGCCGTGGAGGGGAAGACTGCCATAGACAAGCTGTCGGTGCTGCTGTCCGGCAGGTGACCTGTGTTTACCTTCAACATGAATATAGTCTGACACTTTCTGTAGGCCTATTTAAAGTTTGAATGAAGTTTTGCACTGCAGGAGATTATTTGCACGTTTTGTTTAAGGCTAACCAGAGGTGGAAGTACTCAGATATTGTATTTGAATAAAGTAAACGTACCAGAGTGTAGGAATTCTCATGTAAGTCCTGCATTCAAAATATCACTCAAGTAAAAGTAAAAAAGTATTGAATTAAAAATATACTTAAAGTACCAAAAGTAAAAGTACTCATTATGCAGATTGGTCCATTTCAGATTAAGATATGATATGTTTTATAATGATTGATCATTAAAGTGTTATCAAAGCTGGTAAAGGTGCAGCTAGTTGTAATGACTTTGTATACTGCAGGTGGAACTAAAGTCTGATTTAAGACTTGATTATATTTCACATCATTCACAAAATATTCAATACATTTAGTGGAGTAAAAGTACACTATATACCTCTGAATTGTGTTAGGGTAGAAGTAAAAAGTAGCAGAAAATGGAGATACCAAAATAAAAGTACCTCAAAATTGTACTTAATAGTACAGTAAATCTACTTAGTTACTTTACATCACTGAGGCTAACAACAAACAAAATAAATTGTGCATCATAAGAAACATTTTAAAACATTTCTGTGGGGATGCATATGACACAGTTCAACATTTTTTTAGTTTTTTTAGTGCACAAACTAACATAAAAAACATAATTAGTATCTATCACAAATGGATATCTATCACAAATTATGCTATCATAGACTCTTCATTTGTAGGGAGCCATAGGGGGCCCAAGCTCAGCCCTCCCCCTAGAAATGCAGGTGTAAACATGTCCCCATTAAAGCCATCCTGTGTTTTATCCAAGACAATACAGCATAGAATGCATTCTAATATTAAAAGATTAAAAAGTGTTACTGTCATGTGCCCAATAGCTACTTCATAGTTGTTGGCAGTTTAGAGTCTGAAGTCTCTGGCTCCTCCAACAGAGCAACATACTTTTAAGACATAAAGAGAAACAACATAAATGCTAATGCTAATGAATCAATGGTGCAAGTTAAATGCAGGAATAAATAAAATATATACATGTTAAATGCAATAATGAACTCAAAGTAAAATTAAATACTTTACAGTGGAATTCAAAATGATATTTTTCACTATTTTCCATCTAGAGTAATTTTCTTACTTTGCTATATGCACTAGTGCTTCTGATTTTCCACTGGGTTCATTGGTGATTAGCAATGCTGTTTACTGTATAATAATTGACATATCCAATTCTGGGAGGAAATAGTGTTTTTATTTCATCATAAAAACATCTTTAAAATGAATTAACATGTGTTAGTTAAGATGAAGTCTGTTTAAACATTTAACTCAGAAAATGTGGTGAATAATATACATTTGTAATTGTATGGTTCTTTTAAGCGGACTTATGTCCTCTTACAACAGCAGAAACTTTTTTAAAAGGGATGCATATTTAAACATCACAAGGTATTATTCTTTGGCAGATTCTGTCAATCTTTGCATTAACATTCCCACACTTTAGTTTGCCATCAGGAGCATTAGCTGGTTGGTTCGGTTACAATTACTACAACTTAGTAAAATGTCATCAGTAAGCTTATCTGAGTATCAAAATATTAAAGGTCCCATGTCATGGCCATTTCTACTGATCATAATTCCATTGTTGAGGTCTACTAGAATAGATTTATATTGTGCAATTTTCCAAAATCACATTGGTTTCTCATACAGCATCTCTGTCAGTGACGTGCGGTGAGGTTCATGGCTGGTGAGGCACTGACTCTTTCAGAGTCAGATTTACAAATATTATATTTTGACCTTAATCGAAATATTCGGTTATTTTCAAAAGCTTTTTTAGTCTGATGCTTCGATTCATTTTAAACAGACCGTTCAACAAAAGGATACCCAAAATCTAAATATTGGATTGTTCTTTCTTAGTAAGATCCCATGTTCATTACAGTTGTGGTCTTACCTTGACTTGAAGATGAAGTCCATGCTATCCTTCTGGACAACAATCTCTATTACTTTTTTGTAAAAGTCCTCCTTATCTCCCTCTAGTTTCAAAACAAAAGTCTAGTTTGTTGTTGCGTCTACCGTCTCTGCGTAGAATTACAGTAGCAACAAGAACCTGTGGGCTCACGTCCGCGCCCTTCAGTGCGGCAGAGGTTATGGCTGCCTCTCCTGGTGCTTTTTTCATTGCCGTTGTATGATGAGACCAGCGAGCCTAAATATCATATATACGTGAAATAAGTTATTTAGAGACTATGGATGGCCAGGATAAATGTAATAAAGCGATCTACAAACATTACATTGGTGACCTACAGTGAGATGGTAACAGGCATGCGCTTAGGGCCCGCTTTCCAGCCAGTTTCTGTGGGGTGACGCAATCTGAGGTGAGGCAGAGCTCATCTGTGCCTCACCTTACCTCACAGTAAGCAAATGAGCCTGGCTTGAGCGCGCTCACAAAATAAGTGCCCGCGCTACATTAGTGCCCGCGCTCCAGCAAGTTACTGAGGGCTTACGTGAGGCAGAGCACGTCCCTGCCTCACTCCTCATCGCTCCCATGTAGTTGTAGCGGAGCTTGGCCAATTTGCTGATTTTGACTATAAAAAGCGATTGGAATCATACAGAAATCACACTTACAACACAGATCAGTGGAGACATTTTATTATTATTACTATTTAGTTTTTCTTTAGTTGTTTTTCCGTTACATTGGAGTATGACAGGTGAGGCTCTGCCTCCCCTGACTGCACGTCGCTGATCTCTGTATAGTATGTGTATTCACCAGGTATTCACTCTCTGTCCTAAACGGCTTGTTGGAGCTCCTGCCCCCCCTCCCTGTGAGCCCAGTGTGCTCTGATTGGTCGGGACGTTGCGAGGCTCGCTGCTCAGTGAGCTGGCTTACTGGTGTGGTTTCCGGGTCGGCGATACAGCGATACAGCGATACAGCGAGACAGCGCGAAACTCATCCTGAGCACACACAAACACTCACAGCCGAAGTAAAAACAATAAGTGTGGCTTGATATTGAGTAAGAAAAAGGTTTATAAACGCTGTGAGAATGGGTCTGCGGAGAGCATTTCTCCGCGATCCCAACTCGTCTATTACCAACCAGGGAGCTCTATGCAAGTCAATGGGACTCCCTGTTAGTTGAAAATGTACGCTAAAGGTCCTGGTGTGTGAGGAGCTCCGCGGATTGGTCCATTTTGGTTCCGGGAACCGCATTACGTCATGTGGTTCCCAGAAGAAACAAATGGAAAAAGAGAAATGTCCAACGAGGCGTTCTGGGGCAGCATAGACAGGTCTTTTCTGTGTTAGAGTTGTACTCGCTACAGGGTGTACTTTGAGGGTTTGTGACTCTGCAGACCGCTTACATGCAGAAACACCTTCACAAGGGGACGGGTAATAACAGGAAAAGCATGACATGGGCCCTTTAAGATAAAGATGAACCTTTATTGGACCCCTAGGGGGAGATTCAGTTTTCCACTCTGTTTATACATATTTTATTACACGCACACTACAAATACACACAGGTATATGTGCACACTTGCACATACTAAAGTCATTTAACCTGATTACTTTTGATTACTTTTGGATTACGTCAATATTAAATGAAGTGCAAAAAAATACTAGAGAGAATAAATAATTGTTAATGAAATGTTTTTTTTAATTAGGAAGAATGAAAGTAACCTAAATGAAAACCAAAAAGTAATTCAAGCAATTGCATGGACATCCCACTGATAAACTGGGTACGAACACAGTGTTGTTGTGTGTACAGTTGTTGTGTTGACTTTCACTCCTGCTGCACTTTAAGCCCCACCCTGACTGTTTTCTTCTAATATTGTTTCCTATTGGAAGGCGGATGAGTAATCTCACCTGTCCCTCCGTTCTCCTACAGAGTCTGTGTGACGGTTAACGGAGAGTTCCTGCATTACATCTACCCCTTCCAGTTTCTGGATTCACCTGAGTGGGACTCTCTCCGACCATCGGAGGAGGGGGTTTTCCAGGTCAATTTAACACACAAACATTTAAAACACATCTCAGTTATTAATAACTCAGGAATGTCATTGCAACCATACACTGTTATGCCTGTAACCCACATTTTAGATTCATAGATCTTTATGACACCATCAGCTTAACCTAAATGACTAATTTGTTACATTCATGCCAATAAAGCATACTACACTGATTTAAGGATAAGGCTTACACACCAAATTCTGTATTTACCCAATACATCTTAGTAAATGAAATGGTTCCTATAAACATTATTGTGTGTGTGTGCAAATTCTGATATATTGTTACAATTATTTTCTTCGTCACAACAGCAAATTTGACATGTCGTCATGAAACACGTAAGGTTAAATGAAAAGCATTTACGATAACAGCGTTCTATTTTTAGAGAGCCACGGTCCTGGTCTTGTGAATGGTCACTGGATACTTCAACACTTGCTCATGTTATTAGAAACTCACCAACTAGTCGTGAACACACTAGTTTATCTTAGAACGTTTATTTTTATCTTTTGGGGCATTTTGCGGCCAATATCAATTATTTTTCAAATGTTTGTCCATGCATACCAACAAAACTGTCCTTTCCATGAATTATCAGACTTTCATAATTAACATTGTTATGGATTATAGAAGGAATGAGTCCTAAACCCTGATATGAGTTTCCATTATAGCATTTCTGGGTCGCTCGTCTCGAAGTCAGTGGTTTTTCAAGGTTTCTTTAATTAGATTTCTGAAGTAAGGTCTGTGGTTCACACAATTCCCTCGTTTTGTTCGAGGACATAAAACAAGTCAGTAAAAACCCCACTGGTTAATGTCTAAAGCTTCTTAAAAATGTTGGTTGATAACCAGTAACGTCATAATGTCAAAAACATTAGCTGTGTTAGCTTAGCGGTGGTGATGTGAAGTCATGTTACCTTCATGTAGTTTTCTTAGCTATTTACATACTGGGATTGTATTTAAGAAACCCAATCCAATGAAATATTACATTGCTTTTTGACGGGAACCTTTTGTGAGGATAACTTCCAAGCCGGCCCACACTGCACTACTCTCTTTATCCTACCTTTTGCCTCAGATTCAATGTAATCTTTTCCCATTAAAGGATATGTCCAGTCTATTACAACCATCTGTTCCCGATCACAGCCATTGCTTAAACTATGGGCAAAACTACAAGATAAGACCCACATTGTAATAAAGTGGAGTTCTCCTTTGACTGACACATGATTGGCAGCGTGTTTCCTGTCAGCCTCACCTCTTTGTTATCATTTACTGTGTGTTTGCCTCTCCACAGGTGACGCTGCGTGCCGATAACCCCTGCAGATATGTGGCGTGGAGGAGGAAGAAACTCTATCTGCTCTTTGCCAAACATCGCTACATTGCTAAGATCTTTGCCCTGGTGGTGCGCAACGATATCACAGATAAGCTGTACTCTCTCAACGACAAGGCTTTCGACAGCTCCGGCCACCGCTACGATCTGCGCTTGCCCAGTTACTGTCACATGCCAGGGACCGAATTAGAAAAGGCAGATGTCTTCCTGCAAGTGCCGGTGCAGGGGCCAAAGACTGCCTAAACACACACACACACACACACACACACACACACACACACACACACACACACACACACACACACACACACACACACACACACACACACACACACACACACACACACACACACACACACACACACACACACACACACACACACACACACACACTGCTGTAAACCATAAACACTAAAGTTACTCCTTGCATGTAGGAACAGGTGTTATCTGCACTGTGTTGGATTAGTGTGTTTCCAGCGTTGTTATGTTTAATCTGCCCACATTATTAGACCTCAACATGTAAAGTATGTAGGTGGAGCTGGCAGACTTCAACACGTGTCAGAGGATACTCTCGAGGGGGCTGCTACTACGTGTAAACTGGGGTCACGTGATTTCAGCGGGAAAGGTTACAATCGCTGGAAAAAGACCTGACAGGAACGTGACATCAGGGAGGACCCGCCTATTTCAGATGCTATGTGATGTACGTTGAAATGATGAATCACCAATCTACAGTTTTAAAGAGAGATTAAATAAGCAAGAGGCCTAATTATAAAGTATCCACCACTTTCTTCTTGTTTGCTAAACCTGCAGAAGGTATTTCCTCCATATACACGGTCTATTTGGCAGGAAAAGGATATCAGTAGCTAGTTTCTTTCTAGACAGTTTGAGAAAACGTTAACAGCTCTATAGAACTGATCTGTTGATCCTGTCAACATTAAGGAGAGATTTCAACATTTTTGGGACGCTTGTGTCTTTTTGTCATTTGTTTAATATTTGGTAAATACATAATGACAATTTGTTAAAGTTATTGCTAAAGCTAATTAATTGACAAACGACAGTTTATTGATGCAGTCAGTGACATTTTGGTGTGGTGCATACTGACTCAACATTTGTATTGATATAGAAGGAACAGCTATAAGTACTTGACCATTAAATCCATTAAAAGACCATTAATATGACTCCAATAAAAATAATTATTGGTAAATAATTTGGTGTCTCATTTTTATGGCTTTACCTATAGCTGCTCTTCTGCCAATGTTTATCCTGCCTAACTGTTGCTTTCTAACCCTGTGCAATTAAAACATCATTGTCATTTTGAGGTATAAATATATTTAATTATATTACTTATGAAAGCTGAATCGTAGAATAGGATTGTCTTTCATTAAAGAAAGTGAAAGGGTTTCCAGGACTGGATGTAGAAGTAAGCTCTGAGCACTTTCTAGACATATTGATCAAGAGAAAAAACAATCACCACAATGTTTCTGTGTCTCGTAGTCACACAACAATGTTTTATGATTTTCCAGAGAAAAAGTAGTGGATATAACTGAGGAAAGTGTGTTTGTCATATCTCTGGCCGCACTCAGTTCATCCAACTCAAAAACTTCAAATCACAGCCACTTCAAATCACAGCCACTTCCAGTCACGACCGGTGTTCCCCAGGGCTCTGTCCTGGGGCCTCTTCTTTTTATCATCTATCTACTTCCTCTTGGCCATATCTTCCGTAAACACAACATCCATTTTCATTGCTACGCGGATGACACCCAGCTCTACTTGTCCTCCAAACCAACCACCATCCTCCCTCCATCCTCCCTGTCTGACTGCTTACAGGACATCAAATCCTGGTTTTCCTCTAACTTTCTCAAACTTAACGACAATAAAACCGAGGTTCTTCTCATTGGCACAAAATCCACCCTAACCAAACCTGACAGTTTCTCAATTACAATAGACAACTCAGTCTCCCCCTCCCCTCAGGTTAAGAGTCTGGGTGTCATCCTCGACGGGACACTTTCATTCAAATCTCACATCAGTAATATCACTCGGTCTGCCTATTTCCATCTACGCAACATGAACCGCCTCCGCCCGTCCCTTAACCCTAAGAGCACCGCCATTCTTGTTCACACCCTGGTCACTTCCCGCATTGACTACTGCAACTCCCTAAAATAAATGCATTATTATTATTATTATTATTGTGTTCAGGCTCATGACACAAGGCTCAGATTAATTAGGAAAATTATGCTTGGTGATTGGCTTTTGTTAATGTAATATTGTGCCATGTAAATTATTATTTGTGTCTTGTACTGAAAAATAAATTATACTTTGTTTTAATGTATGGAATTTTGTTATTCAAACACAAAAACGAAGACCCACGAGGCATTTTTTATTATTTAACTCAAGACCCACCTTTATTCATTTGGGTTTTAATTGATTATATGTATTAAAATTGAATCCTTCTTTTCTTTTTCTTTTTATTTCCTTTTTTAATATTTTATATCTATTTTTTTTTTTCTGGTTTTGTTTAGTGGCTGTGTTTTTCTTAATTTAGGTATTTTATCAATCACAAAGGCATGTGTTACCTGGAAAGGGGGGTGGGTTGTGTACTGTTTTTATTTCAGCTGTACAGTATGAAAAGTTTGATTGTATATGGAGAGTACTGTAAGTAAATAAAGCACATGTTGCATGAGTGTGTATCTGTGTTGTGTGTTGTGTAACCTTCGCCCGTCCAACAACAATGTGAACAAGATAATACTGGCAGGAATAAAATATTTAGTTGACCACGTTAATATTAATTACATTTTATTTTATTAATCACCCAAAGTGTGTTCAAAAAGGACTTCAATAATTAAAAAAATCTTAAGGATGAGCATCTATTAATTATTATATATTATGCATAACAATAAAAATACAATTTTGGAATGTTGATTTCCATACAAAATACCTTTGTATTGGCAGATCATTAAAGGTCACCTATTATGCAAAATCCACTTTTTCATGTCTTTTATACATAAATATGTGTCCCTAAAGAGATTCGGAAAGTTTCAGGAATACAGATTCCCTCTCTTTTTGTCCTGATCCATTTATATAAAAACCTGTCTGAAAATGAGCTGATCAGATTTTGGCCACTATGTAATGTCACAATGTTTTTTTGGGTTGTGTAACCATTAGCCAATAACCAACCAAGGTAACCCCCCCCCCCCCCCCTCCCCCCCACACCTTATCACCTGAATCTCCTCCTAGAGCAACATTGTTTTTTTTAAAACCAAATATCTCTCAGAGGGGCGTGGCCAGCAGCAGCTCGTTAGCATTTAAAGCTATAGACACAGAATCAGCACTTTTGAAACAGGGCTGAAACAGAGGGGATTATGGGATGCTAAAATGATCTGTTTCAGCCTAACACTTCAGAGACATGTTTTGAATATATATGAAACATTGTTGAAAAAGAGTATAATAGGGGACCTTTAAATAAAATCATTTTGAAATCTCCGTCCGAGTGACAGATCTGGGGTCAGTGTGCTCTGTCCCCCCCTGCTGGAGCTCTCAGCCCCTGAACGTGCTCTGCTGTCGCCTTCCTGCCCATTTTAGTCTCTCCCTTTCAGCTGCGTGGAATGTTGACACCCGCCCCCCCCCCTGTCTGTCCCCCTCAGAGGGTCCAGCCTACAGACCCCTCACTGCTTCAGTCTCCCAGAGATCTTCCTCCTGCTCTGCTGCTGAACGGTGAGTAACGCTTTCCTCTCTGTACTTTGAAGAACCGTCAGAAAGTAGAAGCTGTGAGATATTCCTCTGAGAGGCTGGGTGTTTATCCCACTGCTATTTATAACATGAGAGCCCCGTCACATCAGACAGGAACACAGCAGCTGATACTCTTACATGCATAGTGGAGAATGGTATGTCGTCTACGTAGAGAAATAACAAACAAAATGGAAATATGTGATCTCCTTCAATTCATCATTAAATGCAGCTTATTGTAGTATCTGAAGGAACACTGGGACGTGCAGTGATGGAAAAAGTACTCAGATCATCTACTTAAGTAAAAGTACTAACACAGTCTTAAAATACTCCATTACAATGTGAAAGTCAAGTATCAAAAGTACTCATTGTGCAGAATGCATCTTATAAATGTGTTGTATTATTATGGAATATTATATTATTCTGTTTTTCATTAGAAATATAAGAGTTGTATAATGTTGTAATTTGTCAATATGGAGCAAATTCTGATGAATGGTGAGTACATTGCTGGTACTACATTTATCATAAACACATGTATTTATGTAAAAGGTAACAAGTATGAAATAAATGCAATGCAGTAAAGTACACTTCAATCTGAAATTTAGTGAGGTAGAAGTACATGAAAATGGAAGTACTCAAGTAAAGTAAAGTAAATTATACTGAAGTAAATTATGTTAAGTAAGTGTACTTAGTTACATTCCACTACTGGGTACATTAACTATTTTTTACCAAGTATATGATAGTTAAAGAAAATATGTAATGTTTATGTTAAGTAAAAAGCTTCGATATGATTCGATGCGATATCTTCAGACAGTTGTAAAAAATATACAACATATACAATTAACTAAGCCGTAAGCCTACACTGTTTGTTTTTATCTGGTTTGTATCAAAAGATCCAGAAATATCTAACACAAAAAGGCAATTATGATGGTGTGACTTTAAGGCTAGTGGGTCAACAAGGAGGAATAATTTGTGAGTCCCCCCCCACATTGGTATGATCGGATGTTTCATGTACCTTCTGCTGCATGAATGCTGCAAAAGTAAGCAAATTATGTTTTTGTGACGATTGAACTGAGACTGAAAGGATATTTAAAACTACACATTCTTCAGGTGGAGTTACTGAAAGCTGCTGGAGGCATACAAAAGGAAACAGTTTGCTAACATGTTTAACATAACAACTTTATAAGGTGATAATATCTGTAATGAGCGTTAGATGTGGAACATACCAAGTAGAAGCAGGTTTTTTCAGACCTGTATTCATCCTCCTCTACCCACATTCTCTCTAACCTCACCCTATACTTTTCAAGGTGACCCCGCCGCAGGATGTCTTCCACCCCGGCGCTGCCCCCCCTCTTCACCACGCTGCCCTCCTTCCCCTCCGCCTCTCCAGGGGTCCCGGCTGCGGGGCTGAATAGCACCTCCTGCACAGAATGGGACCAGGCGCACCACCTCCTCTTCCACCTGGGGAGCCTGGCCCTGCTGCTGGCTCTGGCCCTCCCCAGCACCATGAGCCTGCACATGATCCTGCTGCGCCTCCTGCTCATGACAGGTCTGTCCCCCGCCCCCCCCGCTCAGGCCATTCCTGTGCTGATAACACTGAAGCAGGGAACATTGGCTAACAATACATTTATTCTAGTGACAAGTGACCCACATATTGGTATATCATGACCACAACAAGCCATTTACTCCATTTACAATCACACTGCACTTTTTGACATGTCAAAATCAGAAACAGGTTTATTGCCAAGCAGGTTTACACATACGAGGAATTTGCCTTGGTTTATATGGTGCATACATAAACAGAGTTAAAGAAGGTAAATTGTAAGAAAATAACCGAAAAAAAAAATATTATAACCGGAAAATATACCAATATTTACACGAAATATAGGTTAAATATAGATATACCTTTATATATAAAGTACAATATTTTTATTTATTTTTTATTTAACCTTTATTTAACCAGATAAAAACATTGAGATAAAATCTCATTTTCAATGCTGACCTGGCCAAAAAGGCAGCAACGTTATACATAACACATAACACAAACATATAAAATACAGAGAACATAACTAAGAAAACAAAAGACGAAAAAGCAGTCACTACATATATGTGCAGTATTGGTGTAAAGCCATGCAGATAGCTTTGTGTAGAAGGTGCAAAACTTGGATGTATAAAGTTAAATTAATCTGCATTACTTGCACATTGTTCTTGCAACATAGTCTTTCACTATTTGTATTGAACCTGGGACTTAAGCTTTCCAATGCCATAACAACACTGTACAGTAGCTACTGTGCCTATGACAATAAAGCCTTTGAATCTTGAATCTTGAAAGATCAGTTGAGCTAACCTTTGGAGGATTGTTCTAAAGTTGTCCTGCTCAGAGAGGGATCTGTTGAGCTGAGGCAGGCTCTGTGCAGCGACAGATGGAGAGAATGGCGGATGGAAAAAGCACTTCCAACATGTTTATCTTCTGCTTGGAAGGAGAGAGGAGACAGGAAGCAGCTGTAAATATGGGACTTTTTTACAGTTCATTTATTTATACTGCCTTTTGGCACAAGGTAGTCTCAGAGGCTTTCACAGAGAAACAGAAACAGAAAGAGGAAAAGTAAACTTACAGAGCAACAGTAGTTCATCGTGTAAGGGGAAATAAATAAATAAATAAATTGTAACAGTTTGAGCCAAATTATCTATTTTTAGACCATGTGTGTTTAATTTGTACTACTCTGGAGCCAACAAAATCATACAGTAATATAATATTTGTATATATTGACATTTCAAATATACTCTTTATTGTGTTCATTTACACATATTCTTAACCTTTCTGATCAATTTACAAACTTTTTGCTTAAAGGGGCCCTATATTATGAAGTTTGGGGTTTTCCCTTTTCTATAGTGTGTACGTTTGTTTACTTCTGTAACAGTGACATCATTATGTAACACTATTGGCTAGTGCTCCAACACATTGTAAGCTAAGGGGCGAAACATCTCAAAGCGGTTAACCAATCACAACAGAGCTGGCCAGCTAACCAATCAGAGCAGACTGGGCTCTGGTTTCAGACAGAGGGTGAAAAGAGGTGCTGCAGCACAGGCAGTATGAGAAACATAAAGAGCTTTTTGAACATTAAAGCATGGAGACATGTCACAGGAGAGACACTAAATACTTATATGAAACCTGGAAATTAAAATAATTGGGCCTCTTCAAGTCACACTCATATTGACATGTTTCTCTTACTGTTTCTAACATAAAGGTCTATAGCGTGAGCTTCAAAACTTAAATCCAGACTTGTGGATGTCTATCTAATCATTCACAATTCTGTGATCTAAAAACAGCATTTGGGCTGCTATGGAAATAAGTTGCCTTTTTTATTTGTATTATTTTTGTGTAATGCTTCGTTATATTTCTTTCTTTTACTCCTTGTCTTTGCATGTCTGTGCTGAATCCTGTATTGGTTCTTCATTTGTTTTGGTGATCATTGTAAATTCACTTCTAGAAATGACCAATACAGTAGCTACACATGATGTTTCTCAGTGAATGGATACTAAACATGACTGAAATATTGAACTTTGATTTGAGAAGTAGTTCATTCAGTGTCAAAATGTATCCTCCCCTAAACCCGGTGTGCTCTGTGTCTCTGACCCGGCAGGATGCGCTCTCTTCATCGTGTGGGCCACCCTGTACCGCTGCAACCTGGATGTGATGGTGTGGAACGTGGTGTTTCTGCTCGTCAACTTCATGCATCTGTTCTTCCTGCTGTACAAGCGCAGGCCGGTGAGTTCTGCATCATCATTCACGTGGCCTTACATTCAGGCCGTTTCACTGAATGAAAATACTGGCTCAGGCAGGAAGCAGCATATCGTCCTGCATTTGGTCCTGCTTTATGGTAATGACATGCAGAACAAATGTGTCGCTGCCACCGAGGGGTTAGAGTAAGTAAAGAGCCTCCAGTGAGAGCAGAACAGGACTTTTTACATTACAATACCTTTTATTGAGCTGCTGCTTTTATCCAAAGCGTCTTACAATAGGTGCAATCAATCATGAAGAAGCAAACTTAAAGAGGCAACAATCCTGCAACTACACAAGTGTTTAATAAGTCAAACCTTTCAACAGTAAGTTTAACATACAGTAAAGTGCATTTATTTTTGGCCAAGGTGCAGTTTTAACAGCAGGGTTTTTATTCTGTGATAGAAGATGTGTAGACATTCAATCATTTTGGAGCCAGGATAACGAACATGTGTGTTTTTGTTGATGGGTATCTTGGGTCCCACTCTTAGCTGGAGTGTATGATTTAACCACCCTGTCCTGAATGTAGGAAGGACCTGATCCACACAGCATGGTAGACCAGTGATTTTTTCTTTGCTAAAATGAACTTGTCAACTACTGCTTGTGAAACAATTGTATGTAGATGTAGTCATCTCTCATCTCCAAGTAAATTCTTACATGTCAAGGTGCTAATCAGCAACAATTAGCAAGTGACAGAAGACAAAGTGTTGGCCTGGATATCTGCTGGATACAACATAGCCCAAATATATTAGCCTCAGATATTGGTAGTTGTACTTGACTCTTCATTATACTGCCAGCAGTCGCTGAGGTAGACACCTCCTCAACATTTATTGAAGTTTGCTTTTTGTGTTAACTTCTCAAAAGAAAGATGCGTAAAGGCTGTGTCTTTGCTCTGTCAGATCAAGATCGACCGGGAGCTTCGGTCGCTCTACAAGCGGATGTTTGAGCCGCTGCATGTGAAGGAGGCTCTGTTCCAGAGGCTCACAGGACAGTTCTGCACCATCCAGACTCTGAAGAAGGGCCAGGCCTACGCTGCAGAGGACAAGACCTCTGTGGACGAACGCCTCAGCATTCTCCTCAAGGGAAAGTATGTCAAGTTTGTTTGCCTCTATATCTACGAGATTTCACAGTAACCCCAACACAAAACCCTAATTCCACAAAATGGATTTGAAGTGAACGTTTTCTCTGGAATAAAATGTGCATGGAATATCTTCTTTGTAAATTTGACTATATTGTTTCTGCGTGACAGGATGAAGGTATCATACAGGAGCCACTTCCTGCACAACATCTATACAAATGCATTCATTGACTCTCCAGAGTTCAGGTCCACTGAGATGCACAGAGGAGAGAAGTTTCAGGTATGAATAACATCTTTTGGATAAAGGGAAACAATCTACACCTTAACCTGCGTGGGCTGCGGGGTTTTCTTTCACGAAACTGTGTCTCAGGGCTTCTTAACATTTAAACACCTAGTAATGTGTGATACCCACTTAGCTTTACGGAGCAAAAACGGGACATTGTCTTACCTTTGCTGTTGTTCTGATCAAAAGTTGTGTTCAATGGCATTACAACGATAAAAACGCTGCTGAAGGTTAATCCATAGGTTAATCCAATGTGTCTGTCACTTTGAAATGATTACTGATAATCCATCGTCATATTTATGGCAAAAACTGAGTTTTCATATATAGCCATTATGATAGCTACGAGAGTGTATGACAGCTTCCGGTTTTGGGCATTCTGGCTACGCATCATTCATTCACCAATGGGTAATGTTTAGATGGATTTTAAGAACTTCCCCTCGATTCTATTGGCTCTAACGGTTAAAAAGAGATGTCAATCATCAAAATCGACCGATGGGTTCCAGAGATATGGAAAATGCACCCAAATGACCCAAGAAGTGAGGTTTTTTTTCTAAATCTCTCTAAAAAGGTCAAATGTAACTTGTTTTGCATCAATCTTGATACAGGGTACTTATTATATGTTATAGTTTGGATTCCTAAAGCTTTTAGTCTACTATCCCATCATTCAAGGGTGGTTTTCACTATAAGTAATCTTTTTTTTTTGGACGGACACTATCATTTACATTTTTTTACTATGTTTAATCTGAATTTACTTTAAAATAAAAAGAATCTATATTGATTCTGACTTTTCTACATCCAACTCACGGGTTTATCATTGCTTTGAGAAAAAAGATTATTAATTTACCCCTTTTAGAATTGAAGATATAGTCAATTGTTCTGGGAATGTCATTTTCGAGCCTGAGACCTGGAAAACAGGCTCAGGGCTCAACAGGTTAATGATTGCAGTGGTAAAAAGAATAATAGATCAGAAGTTTTTCTACTGATTGGAGAGCTCATCCAATTCTAGTTTCAGATGTTTCTGTGTCTGATGAACAGGTGACCATCGTGGCAGAGGAGAACTGTAAGTACCTGTGTTGGACTCGAGAGAGGCTCACCTTCTTCCTGGAGTCAGACACCTTCCTCAATGAGGTGTTCAGGTACCTCATTGGCAAAGACATCACCAACAAACTGTACTCTCTGAATGACCCCACACTCAGTGACAAGGTGGGTCCACTTCTAACGAAAAACTTTTTTTTTACACACTATGCACACTTTTATTGATAATGATGATGATTGTGATGACGGTGGTGTTGATGATGATGATGATGATGATGATGATGATGATGATGGTGGGTCCCAGGCGTTGAAGAAGATGGACCGTCAGCCCAGCCTATGCTCTCAGCTGTCTATGATGCAGATGAGGAACAGTATGGCGAGCACCAGCGACACTGAAGATGTTCTGAACCAGATTCTTCAAAGAGGTTCTGCGGGATCATCACGTAAGTCACATTATCATACAACATGTTTTATTGTCTTTCCATGTGACCGTTACCCAATACTCTGTTACAGCACACCAGTTTACAGTAAATAATTCCATTGATTGATTTCCCTTTTGAAAACATGGATGTATAAAGAGAACTGGGTCCTGCCTCCATTCTCCGTCCAAATCAAATTAATGGATAGGGAAAATAACTGCATTCAGTTTTAGAGTTTTTTACAACTTTTATGCCTCAATGATATATATTGTGGCTTTTCAAGTGATTGTACTCTGTAGTTGACTCGCCTTCATAAAAATAGTATGATGATTTACAGATGTCTCATTCCTAATGTACGTAAGTCAATGGGGAAAGTATTTTTGGGCCCAACTGACGTTACAGACTGACAAGGTAGTTGTACAACAGTTTGGCCTGAAAAAAGAAAATGTTTTCAACGTTTGGCGGACTTCCTGTTAACCATAGACTGTAAAAGAGGTGTATGTTGTCACAGTGACATACCCATTGGTTTTTGGGCCATTCTGAAGCCTTGATTTCAGCATTTTGGCCCAGCCATCTAGTTTTTGGAACCAGAGGTGACCGTACTTGGACGAGAGGGGGGAGCTGGAGAATTTACCAGCTAACGTGTGTTATACCTTGGTTAGCTAGGTGCTTCCAAATATATCATGCTAGCTACAGTAGCTATGATATTAATTGGGCTGATAATTCTGGCCATCAAAACACATAATTTAAACAAAATGCTCTTAATGGATAAAAAAAACCCACCAATGTTAATGTCTTTTAGTACAACCAAAGATGTGGTATTGATCTGTCAATCACAATTAATATTTGTCTGATCATATCGTATCGTACAAAGTAGCCACACCCTGTAGCAAACTGCTTTAGCATTGGGAACCAAATCTCAGTTAAAATAAAATGTAATTTATTAATCCCAATTTGGGAAAATGTTTTCGTATCAGCAGCATAAAACAAAACAAGGCATTGCACATAATAACAAATTAAAAGAGTAGAAATAAACAATTCTAAAATAGAAACATCTCAAAATAGAAATACAAATAAACCAGCATTAGAGAGTAAGACAAATATACAGATGAACGTGAAGATAAAAAATCAATAAACTGTCTGACAAAAAAAGTTACATGTTAGAAGCAAATGCAAAATGCCAAGAACCAGATACCCATATGCAAATACGAATTTATATTATGCTTATCGGTTCAGTCAGTAAAGAGTGGATCATTGTGTGTTTAAGGGGCAGATATACACCTGGGAGTGTAGCATAAGATGACATATCAGACATATTGTCCGCCTCTGATATTAAGGGAAGAATATTTTGTCAAGCATATATTTCAAAGGGGACCTGGGCTCTGGCAAGTCTGATGAACTACACCTGATAACTTCATATTGGGTTGAAGATTACATATTTATCACAGAAAGGCTGAAGCACAATCAGTAGTGGTGCATATGGAAACATATGGAAATGTATCAGGAAGATGTTTTAGAGCTCAGCATATCTTCACTCCTGCTGCTTTATTTTTTCATTCTGTCCCTTTCGATTACCCAAACTTTAATGGAAGAGCAATGCTGCAGTGCTGAAGTAGCCCACTTAAATGAAACCAGTCTATGTGCTGCCAGTGGGAATAGACGTGAATGTACATGAGATATTTACTGAATTGCAAGCTACTTCATCTTGGCATAAGCTCTTGACAGCTTTTATCTCAAGATGTCCACTTCCTCATTCTACAAACAGTTTTTGTTAAACCCAAGTGACATCAATCATTAATATTCCCCCAAAAATATTTGTATATGTAGTAGCCTGGAAACAGATTAAAACCACATGCAGTAGTGTTACTCTTCAAAATGCTTTTAGTCCTGAACAGTGGCGGAGCCAGGACATTTTCAGTGGGGTGGCCAGGATGGAACCAGTGATCATTTTGGGGTGGCATTGAAATCACTATTATATGAACATACAAATACATCTCACTAGAAAATAAGGGGTTATTTAAGGCACCTACAACACACCTCTACATTATTTGGGATTAAGTGGTGGAATAAATCAAATAATATTCAGTTTATCTAACTATTGGCAAAGTACCAACGAAGCTTACATTATCCAAATGTAATGCAATATACAGACTGTTTAGCTTATGGTGATCAGCAGCACTATGAGCTCATTCTCTCAGTGTATCAGGAAAACAGAGACACACACACATCATTTAAATAAGAGTTTTAAAATTAAATTATTGGTTAAGAATAAACATCTTAAAGTAAATAACAATAAACAATAGCCCTTAACCCTGTAAGGCCCCCGGTTGTAATTTTACAACATTACTTTAAGCTATCCTAAAAAAGTCAGTAAATGTTTTGGTTTTTTAAAAGACTACATTTACATAGTCAAAAGGTCCTTTTGTTCAGCCTCACAATGCTATTGGGTAGTAAATGTGTTTATACAGTAGGTCCTGCCCTCTGGCCATACACGCCAGGGATTTTGGGCCCCCATGAAAAGATATCACATTGGGCCCCACCACCAGGCACAGGCCACGCCAACCAAGCACAATTGCTGTAACCACACCTCCTGAACCCAACAGACTCATTTATGCTTTACATAACTCTACCTGTACAGGCTTGCATCTATCTTGTAGTCCAATACTAACTGCACAGTATTTACTGACACTGAGCTGTGAAAATATAACACTGTGCAGACGTGCAACATTCTGCTGCAGTAGAATTCACTATTTGATATAAGACTAACATTCCTGACAATAGATCTCAATAGTCATCTTTTGTAAATGCCTTTTTAATAATAACGTTTTTGAATGGAACATTCTCAACATGAATGCATAAATCCAAATAAATATAACTTAAATATGTGGAAAAATACTGTGTTTGAAATGTGTAATTGAAATTAGATGTTCGCTTTTTGTTTTGATATATATATATATATATTTTGTATTCCAGTCTCCCTTCAGATATGTTAAGTGGCATTCAACACAATGCTGCTCACCTCCTTCAGTTGGGAGAAAAGCTGGTTCAGGTTCAGCATTCTGGGGGGACAGGGCTGCTGAGCCTAAAGATGGGTCTGTTGGTCCTGGCACCAGGGGGAGGGACAACTGATTTAGTATGAATAGCTGCTAAAAATGTACCTGCATTTATTAAATGTCAGCTAAAAGAGCAGTGACATTAAAAACCTGTATAGATATTAACAGTACTTAATGTCAGCTTAGTAAAAAAAAAACACAACAATTATTATTTACAATGGACTACGCTTAGCTAACAGACACATTTCCACCACTCATGGACCACACCCACCTTTTCTTTTGAAAAACTGGGTGACATACTGTCGCCCTCTCTTGTCTTTCTCTCCTTTCTTTTCTCTTTTGAAAGCCTGACTTTGTAAGCCGTTGAGACATGGTATACTACACACGTAAGTACTAGCATCCCTGCTCACATGCTCTCACTCTCTGCTAGAAAGTGCAGGCAGTGCTGCACCGCGTTTGGAGGCAGGACCAAACCATTACATGTAAATAGAAGGGGGTGTACAGAGGCTTTGGATAATTAACTTTTGGAAGAAAATAAGTTAAATGAATTGTAAGTTTAGTGAGTACATTATCGATATAACGTCCTATTAATGTTAATTCTTGATGAATGATGAAAGGCTACTTACATTTTTTTTTCTTAATGTTCTAAAATTGTTTGGGCCCCCGTGGTGAGGGTGTTTGGGGTGGCCAATAGGGTGGCCAGGATTCAGCCACCCCCCAGCTCCGCCACTGGTCCTGAAGAGCAGCTTCTCTTTTCAGCAGGGCTCTTAGTTCTAATGCAGTGACTGTCAGTGGTAATGGAAACACATCCACTGTACCCGTCCATCCACTCGCCCTATGGGCTGGTGTGTGTGTTGTGTGTGTGTGTGTGTGTGTGTGTGTGTGTGTGTGTGTGTGTGTGTGTGTGTGTGTGTGTGTGTGTGTGTGTGTGTGTGTGTGTGTGTGTGTGTGTGTGTGTGTGTGTGTGTGCAAGTGTGTGTGCGTGCGTGCGTGTATGTGTGTGTATGTGTGTGTGTGTGTGTGTGTGTACTCACATTTGATAATACATTTGAAAATAATGTCCTTTGTGACATGTGACCACTTCTGTTGGTCATTGAGCCAGGATTTTCCATTTCTGAGTGCATATGAGCAAAAAGCCCTTATAGACAGTGAGCAACCACTTGTATGTAGCAAAAAGCTTAGCAAAGAATCATACTAATGTTGTATAAAAAATGTGCCTACAGTACTAATATAGCTTCCGTTTAGTGCTTCATTTTTTTAAATAGATAACAACAAAATTATTTAATAATAAAATAATTTAACTAAGCTCAAAGTGCCTAGCAATATGGCATACACCACAATATACTGTAGAGAGAAAACAAGAAATGTAATTCAGGTCAATCGTTAAAACTATTTTGCACACATTCAGGATATGCAGAGGATATATACGTTTTCAAGAAATGCAGGTAGAATAAGTAAGAGAAAAATCAAAAAATGTACAACAGATAACCCACTCATGGAACACACTACCAAGAAATATCAGAGAGGCCAGATCACTGGACATTTTTAAACGCCAGCTAAAGACAAATCTTTTTAGATTAGCTTTTTATTAGCAACCCCCCACTTTAAATGGTATTTTTGTCCTTATTATTTACCTACTTTTATATTGTTTTATTTATTTTATAGGTCTTAAAGGTGGGGTAGGTAATAATACACACATGCACACAGAAGGATTCACACTTGTATTTCCGGATCCACACTTGTGTTTGTCAATGCACACACAAATGTGTTCCGTTTCATATACATGTAAATAAAATCCAAATACAGAAAAAAGTTTTACATATGTATTTGTTTTCCGTTTAAATCCCCTGAACCTGCAAACACAAATCGCTTTCTGTGCATGGATCGCTGTGCATTCGTGTGTGGGTTTTTTGAGACCCCCCTGACGGTGACCCGATTCGTACTTGTAATTTTTTCTATCTATAGCCAATCAGATGTCTCCTCAATTCTAAGCCAATCACATGAGCGCGCCCCCACGAGGGTAGATTGCTTGCGTCCATGACGTAGCGCTTCATGTACGCATTTTGCGCTGTCCGGAGCTGACAGGTCCATGGAGCCTGCCTGCAGGCGCTAATCTCAGGACACCTCCACTCTCAGTACATTGCCACTTTCCGAGCAGGAAATGCACGCAAATACAATCTTTTATATTATTAAGGTACAGTGCCACTTTCCAAACCATTAATGAATGCTTGAGTACACAAAAACGGCAGGCAAAACCGTTTTAAATGTGTGTTTCCTGTATGGCGAATACAGCGGCTTTATTTATGTCTGTATGAAGTTGTTGTGAGTGTGGAGGGAGCAGCTACAGGTTAGCTTAGCCTAATCGATCAGTGCACTACGAAGCCAGTGCTAGACAGTGAACTGTCAACAGGGGGAGCCCCGCCGGTCATTATCGGCCAATCACTCTTAATAGTTTGATCGGTGCTCTCTATAAAGGCCGATCAGGAGAGCTGGATCTGATCGATATGGACATAAACGCGAGTGAAGTTTTAGCGAGCTGCATGAGAAACTGACGGGCTGTCAGGAGAGAGGGAGGGAGAGAGGAAAAGAGATGATCCTTACTCCCGTGTTATTAGCCATATCCGGTCATAGTCCGGTAATTACCTGCTAACGGAAACTCTGCTACACAATTCTTCTTCTTATTATTATTATTATTATTGAAACATGACCGGTAAGTTTCAAATTTGTCAAGTACGAATCGGGTGACCGCCAGGGGAGTCTCAAAAAAGCCACACACGAATGCACAGCGATCCATGCACAGAAAGCGGTTTGTGTTTGTAGGTGCAGGGGATTTAAACGGAAAACAAATATGTGAGGATCAAAAATACATATGTAAAACTTTTTTCTGTATTTGGATTTTATTTACATGTATATGAAACGGAACACATTTGTGTGTGCATTGACAAACACAAGTGTGGATCCGGAAATACAAGTGTGAATCCTTTTGCGGATCATGAAGTACAAGTGTCAATCCTTCTGTGTGCATGTGTGTATTATGAGACTGTTCTGAGCCCATAAAACCAGCTCGAGGGCGCTAGAATTTGAAAATTCAAAAAGAACGGAAAAAATCTGCCACTTCCTTACAGAGCCCCTCCTCCAACACACACGAACGCGCACGTGACCAATGAGGGCACGAGATAAGTTTGTGCACAGATGGAAGGCTGACAGGCAGGTAGGCCATCCAGTTATTTTAGCCGGGCCGGCTAAAATGATTGGTCGTGCTTTTTACAGTACTACGGCTTCCACAGATGACATTTTTTATGGATTTTTTGTCAAAGCACTTAAGATATTCATTGCTATCGGGATGTTAAGAGCATTCCATGGAATATAACAAAAAGTGTATCTCAAGCCGGTTTCTCAAACTTACCTACCCCACCTTTAAAGGGTTGTATCTTATATTATTTATTGAACAGTTTTAATAGCAAAATGTCTTTTTACGTTTGTTTTGAAATATTTTAATCGTTTAACCTTTATTAGAATTGTGACGTTTTTATTACTATTATCTTTTTTTTTTTTTTTCTGTTGTACCTATATGTTCACTTTATTTTACAGGGTTTTATATTTTTGCATTTTATTGTATTATCATACCTTTTACCTCCTTTTGTCTCTTAACCTGTTAAAATGTTATATTTTGCTGCATTTATCTGCAAAGGTCTTAACGTCTGATCTGAGGGGAATTTCTTGTTGTTTATTTTTAACTTGTGATGTGTCATTTTGTAAAGCACTTTGAGCTGCACGTGCTGTATGAAAAATGCTATATAAATAAAGCTTGTTTATTATTATTATATGACACAATGAAGAATTACAATAAAATATTAAAAAATATTAAATATATTAAAAAATATATGTAATAATAAATAATAAAAGACAGATTAAAGGGAGATGTCGTTAATTAAAATCTTATCCAAAAGAAATATGTTTCAGCTGTTGGATACAAATGTCGTCTGATTTCAAATGGATTTGTTCACAATATTTAAAAAAGGTTGTTGCATATTTATCATTGATTGAGGTCAAATTGATATATATTTTTTCCTTTTTAGAAAGATCTCCTGGCACCAAGGCCTCCAAAAAGATGAAGCCCATAGAAGAAGGCATGGAGGACGACGTCTTCGAGGAGTCTGCTCCCTCCGAGTCTCAGCGGATGCCCAGCACCTCCACCACTGAGGAGGTGTAGCTGCATGAGGGGGCTTGTCATATTGTGTCGTGTAGGTCTGTTTATAACAAACAGGGCCTGGTCCTTACACAGGCATGGCCCACATTACCAGCCCTGCCACTAATCTGGCAGCACATGTCAGTGAGAAAGGTCAAAGATATGTTCCTGATCATTTACCACAGACATGTTTATTATACCCAATCAAATATCTTGGCCAAAGTTATTTTAAAAAAAAATCATATAAAAAGAGATGATCAAAATGTTTATGTCAATTCAAAAACAATTATTGGTAGAGAAATCAGATTTTTCATTTTTATTTATTTGAATCTACAATAATTGATTCTGTGAACAGGTTGTAAAACGCAAAGTTCACATATTGTCATCTTATTAAGCTGCATTCACATGATACGCGGTAAAAAGTTGTGTTTCTATGGAGAAAGCATTGCTGCCCGACTACGTAGAACCACTACCCTCGGCGTCGCATCGCTCGAAATGGTCGCAAAGCGCTGCGTTCAAAGTTCACATTATTTCAACTGAGACCTCCTTTACCAGTGACCTTCGTTCAAGCAACCAATCAGATGACTCAAGTCAGCAGGCGAGGTAACCATAGATACAAAACTTAACTAATTGTTTTTACGGCAAGGCCTTGCGCTAAACTTCGGAGTTCGCAAAGAGCAAATCTCGTACCATGTGAATGCAGCTTCACAAAGTTGATACGATGAATATGTTTTCGAACAATTGCCCATCCAGCGGCACAAAGCAACATTACCACCATGAAGAGATGTTTGTATGTTAACCCTTTCATGCATGAATTATGAAAACCTCAGTCAGGATTTTTTTACCAAATGTTTGTATTGCTCTTGGGGCATGAAAAACAAGATTTGAACTTTAGTTTTTTTTTATCTAGTTTTTTCAAAAAAATATTTATATGTCCACTATGTAAACGCATGGAAAGTATGCGTTTACATTTTGAACTGAAGAGATGCAAATTTTGAAAAAATGATAAATAAAGATGTGCAAACTTAAAATTACATTATAATAACATAAGTAGGCCTATATTGATTTACGGCCCAAAAAGATATTGCAGATGAAGTATTTTCAAGAACGACAGTAGCAGTAACAGTATGAATTGTAGTTTAAATATAGCCAGTGATGCATGACGTCCACTTTAGTGGACAGGTGATTAATCCTAATTTCCTGCAAACATAAAATCAATACTTTGACAATTTATGAATGATATGATTCCTTAGTTGTTACTTGATGTCACCAACGTTATACCTGCAGGGGGCGCTTTCCGTAAAAGGATTGGCAAGATATCGACGAGTGATTTGGTCCATCTGGCTTTCTGTCGTCCATCTTGGTTTAGAGAAATGCACTTACACTGACTTTCCACTGAGTAGCAGTGTATGGGATGATGCAATAGGGTCCTATGTAATGGCTAATGTGCAACTATGCCATCAAAACCCATGCATATACAAGAAAACACCTTTTGAATAGCTGTCCACTGTAGTGACCTCTAATGTATGTTTAGCTCTGGTTTGTTCTCCACCAACTCCATGGATAAACATCTGGCTGCTTTATATTCACCTGCTAAATGCTAACTGTCTGTCTGCTGCTCGTGTTAACGATGTTCAGCAATAGCAGCGTAAAGTGTGTTTTGATAGCTTTTTTTTTATTTCCAGAGAGATAAATACTTTCATTGTTTCTGTAAGTCATAAGCATTGATGCAAATCCATGATTATATTTTTCATATTACAGACACAAACATTTCCTATATATAAACACAAACTTGTACTTTTCACAACTTTCACAACAGAATCTTGTTAGTGAGGGGTATCATGGGAAAAAGTGTGAAACAGAGTGCACTGTGGGTGTTAAATATACATTTAGAATGAAATGTCCTGACACTGTTTGCTATATATTAAAGTTTTGGATTATGTTATTATTGTAACTTTTGTAAAAATAAATGTACTTTGCTTTTCAGATTTGTGAAAGTGAGTTGAAACGGAGTTGTCAGTCACTAATGTTCTAGTATTTCTAGACATGGGATGCCCCCCTGTGGCCACACTGTGCTACTGTATCTATGCACAGCTCAGGACAGTGAAGGAGGCAGTGAGCTGCTGACCCAGTGTGAAGGCACCCATTTTATATTATAGGTCATTTATCTCTTATTCAGCATTTAAAACAGTTCTTTTAGAAAAAAATGGGTCTAATGGTTGAGAAACAATGCCCTTTCTTTAGTTCCACATACCTTTTAAATATTTATTTGTCAAAATCTGGAAGACAGACTGATCCCTTGTGAATGATGTATATGACTTACATATTTTGATATAAATAGATGTATCAGTAGCAGTTAGTAACAAATGAGAAAGTATGACAGACTTTTAAAGTAATTGAAGGTTATATACAATGATATAACTGCCCATTGTTAAGCTGCAGCAGTCAAATGTATACAAATATATTTTCTATGTATACATTGAATAAGATGACAACTGAATGATAAAGTTGTTTTAGCAGTAGTAATTACATTACTAACAATCATCAGATATGTTTTTTATTTTTTGGTACAGTATGTGCTGAAATTTGATTGTCTTTACAATTTGTATAAATCATATAAGGCTAATTAGTTCAATTAAAACACTTCTTGAATATACTATTACGCTACTACTATTGCTACTTTATTAATTCACTTGTTTTTTGATAACACACTTAGCACCAGAGCCGGCCCGACCCATTAAGCGACATAAGCGGCCGCTTAGGGCCCCGCAGCCACTAAGGGCCCCCTAGCAAAAAAGAAAAAAAAATGAAAAGAAAATAATAATCTCAGTCCACCGTCGCCGTGATAAGTATGTTTAATTAATTTTGTTAATATGCCTAGATTGCCTACTCAAAGTCATGTATTATATTATTGAGTCAATAATATAATACATTAACCGTGCTTTACCTGAACCTCATCGTGAGACTAGAGAGGACGGCAGGATTGTAATTTCCCGTGTTCAGTGAATGCAACAGAGGCAAGACACCAGACCAACCAGAGAGTTGAATGGAAATAAACATCTGTCTTATTGGATGACAGGTACCTATCCTGTGAGCTGTGACAATGTTTAAAATCAACTGTCAGTCGGGCTCAGAGTTTTTGAAGATGGACATAAGAACATTTTTTCTAAAAAAATACGACAATTCTCAAGTGGTGGCTCACACAACAACCCAAGAGCCACCACTTGAGCCAGGTAAACAAGGTATGTAAATGTCAGTAAACTTCCAAGTTATGCGAGCATGTAAGCAAAGCATAAATTACAGCTACGTTGACGTTACTTTGAATCGTGGGGGTAAGCTAAACCGTTAGCAAGTAGCTATAGCTAGCCAGATATATTAAATAAACACTTTGTCATACAATCTAAATGTAATGTTTTTTAGCGTTACCTGGTGATTTCAAAGAAAGCTCTCTGGGAAATGTTGACTTACTGTTCGACATGAAGGTAGAAGCTACCTTACAGTCAGGGGCGGATGGGACTAAAAATCAGCCCGGGACTCTCGACCGGACCACTTCGGTACCGCCAGCCCACCTCGGTACCGCAAGTAAATACCGCTAATAAATTGTCGACCGGGGGGGGGGGGGGGGCTAGTGACTTATCCGACTGGCCCACATCGTCCAACCGGCCCACTTCAGTACCGTCCCGATGGCCAGTCCGCCACTGCTTACAGTACACAGTTGATCCTGAGTCCTGTCAGTTACAGTGTTTCATAGTTAGCTTAGCTAAGCATCAACCTAGCACTGAAATATATGGATGTTATGTGACAGTATTTCAGAGAAAAAGTCAGCTGAAATGGTGGCATAGTTGCCACTGCTTTACGTGTCGACAGCAAGTTTGAACGTATTTGCAGCAGTAAATGTGGCTGTTTGGCCACTGACGTTGCCATAACAACACCTGAATTTAAATGTGCAACCTCTTTTTGTGACAGATTTTTGTATGAAATTATAATTCTACTGAATGATATTCCTATTGACAGCTAGTTTCTATGTGAACATTATGAGATGGACAGCCAGAGAGAATAAATGAAAAACAGTTATGAAATACTACATGACAGAACAAGAATACAGTTTAAAAGGGGAGTGATTTGTAAAATATCCATAAAGAAAAATCTGTTTACAGTTCTGTTTCATATGGGTGTTGAGAGATGTATCCATAGGTCTCTTCATTTTGCTCTCAAAGTGCACCAGATTGATGCTTTTAACTTCAATATTTAAAAAAAATCCTCCCGGGGGAGCATGCCCGGACCCTCCTAGAGGAGGTCAGGTCCACGGTGTTTACATGCTTATGTATACAATATGTGAGCTTATGCTTACATCATAAGACAAAAGTTGGTTCTGTGTTGTGTGTAGTGAGAACGCACTAGAGTGAGGGGGGCCCTCAAGCCCGCTTAGGGCCCCCAAAAGTCTAGGGCCGGCCCTGCTTAGCATCCATGGTGTCTCACGCGCAGAGATACCACAGGTCCTTCCTTTCTGCAGCGGTCAGACTATAACCACCACGGCACACTATAGACTATTACAATCTTGTGCAAGATACACTCTTGCATTCTACTTTTGTTATGCTGCTTCACTCAGCATAGTCCAATAATCACTTTTTTGTGCAAAATGTACATTATATACAATATAACTAAAAAGATATAAAATACATTACCCAGCTTGAAAAATACATATGGATTTACACATATGGCTCCAAGAACCCCAGTGGGATAGTGGGGAGTTTTCTTCAATTACAGATTAAGGGTCCTGATTAATAAAATATACTACATGAAAGGGAGTGAATGACGAAAAACACAGCCTGGCCCTTGAATAGTTGATATAATTGGCCTATGGTTGAGCTGATAAAAATCTATTGGCATTACGGCAGATCATCTTGATCTTTCACCTGCCCTGACGTTTGACCATCATTTAAAACATAATAATAAAAAGATGTTGATGACATATACAATTTTGATTTTGTAAATAACCTGCAAAAATGCTCACTTTAAGCCATGGAAACTAGGCTACATCACCCACACCGCATAGCGTGTAAACGTCATCACAACAGGAAGTATCATAGGCTGGGCAGTAGGGTTGTGGAGCAGCAGAGCAGTGTGGCAGGAGAAAAGAAGAGCTGTAATCAAAGGTCGGTGAGGGAACGGTTCCCTTCTGCCGGCGCCCATGGACGACGCCCAGGAACAACACCCCCCCCACTAGGACGACATACATTCGACGGGCAAGGCTTTGTTCCCCCGGTTCCTCTAGCTGGACGGTTAACATATAATGGAACGGGCGATGGAGCAGCTCAACGTACAGCTTAGCAGGCTGACCCGCTCCCTCCGCCGGGCCAGGACGGTGGAACTCCCGGAAGGTACAGGATGCTAACGGCTTTAGCTAGCACAGAGGAGCTGACAGTGTAAACAGAGAGAGTGAGAGGTGACAGCACCCTGCCTCTGTCTGTCACTGAGTTCATTACACAGCAAGTAGGGAACATAACTGACATGTCTGTGTCATAGACTGTATATAAAAAGGTCTGTATTCAGTGTATGACTTTTGGCTTTTACAGCCTAGCATACAGGAGCAGCCTCAAGGCGCAGTGTTATGTTTGACAGCACCAAGTAAGAGTAAAATGTTGTGAAAAGTTACTGGAATGTTCTTATCTGTGCTGTTAAAAAAGCACAAAGCAAACACGCAAATTGTCTCTAAGGTGTTTACCAATACATTATATACACTTATACTTTATTACTTTATTAAACTCCTAGGGAAATTCCTTTTTTTACTCTGTTATTAAAATAAAAATAGCGAATGGTTGGGGGTTTGGTTTCTTGCTCAAAGATGTTTTGGTCTTTCTGGTTCTCAAGCCGATCCCCTTCTTAATTACTGTCTGCCTCAACAACATGTCTATTAATGGTGACTTATCATAATAACTGGATTAATACTAGAATTAAGCCACTTTTTGACCTGCAATCACAAATATGCAATGGATTTATATAAACACAAGGTAACCCAGGTGAGTTTGTGTTCAGACTCAGAATTCAGAAGGGGATTGACTTGTTACATTTGTCATGCTGTTTCAATTTTCAAGTCTAATAGTGTTATTCCTCCTCTGTTCCTCCCTCCACAGACAATGAGACTGCAGTGTACACACTCATGCCGATGGTCATGGCTGACCAGCACAGGTAAGACAGCATCAGAAACAGAGGAATTTGCCTCGGTGTACATGGTGCATACACAAACACAGTTAAAGAAGATAAAAAGTAGGTTTTAGCATAAACACACACTGATCTCAGAGCTAGAGGAAGAACACATGTATCGAGGCTCGCTTCGCTGCTTGTTCTGTTTCATATTGTTGTTTCATTAGGAAGTAATTTACTTGTTCCTTCCTCTCTCCTAAAGGTCAGTGTCAGAGTTACTGCTCAACTCCAAGTTTGATGTGAACTATGCCTTTGGTCGAGTGAAGAGGAGTCTGCTACACATCGCTGCCAAGTAAGATATACTTACTCTGGTCTTATTTAATAGGAAGTACACCCTCGAAGTCTGCCAGTACCCTCCTTCCTGTCCAGCAGATAAACTAAAATTGCAAGAAGATGTGTGTGGTGCAGCCTCGTGCCAAAGTAGGATATGAAAACACAGAAGTCCCAATGAGAGGTAGACCAGCCAATATTAGCCTACTGCAGATATGTGGGTATGGGTTTGCACATCGCCTGAGCTGATGTAGAAACTAGTGTCTTCCTTGGATAGGTTGTCTTTGAGAAACTTTTTGCAGTTGACATTTAAACTTGAAAATGTCCCACTCAGTGTTTTTTGTGTGGTTGGTGCATTATTAGGTTTTTACCATGGATGACTAACGAAAAGTGGATTGGTTATAACTCAACGATAATAGTATAGCACCTAGGGTTGCCCTCGACTTAGTATTTTTCAAGTCGAACAGTAGTCGTCAATTCGTTTATGAAGTATTTTGAATATTAATAATATTTATTTATTATTTTCCA